TTGTCCACACTGTGTCAGACCTCAAGGGACAGTTCTCCAAATAGCCCAGACCTCCTTAGGAGAGACCCTGGATCAAGATCAGTTCGAGAACGCTGCAATCATTTCTTCTTCAAAGAGAAAAGTAATAAAGTACACCCTTTAAAGTAGGAATGCATGTTTGTTAGAAGCTCTTTGAACTTTCTCCATAACTACATAGGCAACCTTCTTAATTAACCCTCCTAGATTAGAGGACAATCACAGAAGTTCCATGGTTTATTAGGACCTGGTTTATCTCAATGAGCCTTGTGGTGTACTTGGTGCTGAGCCTTTGAACCTCAGGGACTGAGAGGACATTGCACAAACCTTTCATGGGTCAAAGAGAAACTCAAAGTATCTCAGAGCATTAATGGGTGCAACTGAGGACCATTCCCAAAACAGGCTCCTCATGGACCCCCTTGGAGGAGATAATTGGGGGCCACGATTGCACAAACCTCTCAGTATCAAAAGCAAAACCCAAAGTCCCCCTAAAAACTGAACTCCTTGAAAGAATTAATGAGCCCCAGTGAGTGTCACTACTGACACAGGCTCTCAGGGGACTGGTTGAAGCAGATAATTGCAGATGATTGCACAAACCTCTCAGAGATTCAGTGTGGAAAATGAAAAGTACTTTGAAAATCCTGCAGGCCCTTGAAGCCTTAAGGAGCCCCCCGAGGGCCATTCCTGACAAAGCCTCCCCAGGGACACTCCAGCAGATCCTTGGAGGCCGTGAGTGCAGGGAGGCAAAGGCTCTGGGCAGCAGCTCAGGTGCTGAGCACAGCCTGGCTCGGTTGGAAGCAGCAGAAAGGCCCAGCCCTGACCCCCAGCCCGGGGAAGGCAGATCCTGTCCCTCACGCCTTGCTCAGGACTCTGCCAGGGCACTGGGATGGGGGTGACGCTGAGGGAAGGACAAGGGGGTGACAGTGCCCAGCCTTCCCGGGCTGTGCCAGGAGGCCACGAGGCCCCAGGGCCTCAGCACAACGTGTGTCCTCACAGCCCGTGGCGGCACAGACCAGGCTGTGCCCGAGGGGACAAAGTCTTGGGACCTCTTGGAGTTCTGGCCCCGTCACTTGATGTCCCTCTGTGAAGGAACAAACCACCTCTCAGAGGTGGCTGACTGACCAGTGCTGGGAACAGTGGTTTCCAGGGCCTGGTGTGTGACAGTGGCCCTGGGGCACCTTGAGCAGGGTGTCCAGAAAACCAGGCCACAGATCAGGCCCTCCAGGATTATACCTGGAGGCCTGGCTGTGGACGGTGCCATGGGCCCCCTTCCTGCAGCCTCACTCTGTAGCTCTTTGTCCTGGTTTAAGCCCTGCTGGCAACTATTCACCACCCAGCCCTTCGCTCACAGCCCCCCCCCCCGGTGGGGTGGGGAGAGGAATCAAGGGAAAAACTTGCAGGTGGAGATAAGAACAGTTTAATAATTGAGAACAAAGTAAAATATAATAATATAGTGAATAATCAGAGTAACGACGATTAAATGGAAAGGAAAAAAAGTACCAAACAATGCACAATGCAATCGTTCACCACCCCCTGACTGATGCCAGGCCCCCTTCCCAAGCCCAGATCAGCCCCCCATTCCAGGTAACTGCCCCAGTTTATATACTGGGCATGATGTTTAATGGTGTGGAATATTCCTTTGGCCATTTCAGGTCACCTGTCCTGGCTCTGCTGCCTCCCAGCTTTTTTCTTTTGGGAACCTTCTCACTGGCAGAGCAGGGGACATAAAACAAAACCAAAACCAAATTCCTTGACTTAGGATTATCACCACTCAGTAAAACCCCAAACATGAGTGTGTTATCAACAATATTCTCATTCCGAATCCAACACATGGCACTGTAATGGCTACTGAGACTAAATTAACTCCATCCCAGCTGAAAACAGGACAATATCCACCCCTTACTCCATACCAATGATGTCATGCCAATTCTCACACTTCCCAATTCCCCATCACATTTCCTATTTATCTATTTGGTAGATATAAATACAGACATCATTCCCATAGTCTGTGGAACACCTCTGTCAAATGGTCATAAAATGTCCACAAAAATTGTTTGTTGAATTCATTCAGTCCATGACTTTGGCCTCCATCCCTGGGAACAGGAAAGCTGTGTGGGAGGTGTTGGATTGTTGCGTGTGGCACATTTGAGTCAGTTCTGACTCCACTGTTCAATTGTTGTTCAGTTTAATCAAAGTTCCTCCTTCCTTCCGAGGGAAGTCAAGGCTCAGATCCCCAGAACACTTGTGGTTGAGGTCGATGCTGTGAGGTGCTCAGGTGATGCACACGTAGCCACCACAGAAGTGGTAATACAGTGTTGGCTAGTTCTTAACATCAAATTTAATTCATTGGCTATTTTCACCCCAAATCAAATCCCCTTAAGGCACACACAGGAATTCCCATTCTCCCACATCACCCACCAAGTGCACTCGTGTCCTTGAGCAATATCAATCCCACGTGTGGGTTTGCCTTTGCCTGAGGCAGGAATAACCCAGACTCTTCTCCTGTAGTGGGTCGACCCTGGCCGGATGCCAGGTACCCACTAAAGCCACTCTCTCACTCTCCCTCTGCAACTGGACAGAGGAGAGGAAAAAACAGCCAAGGATTCATGAGCTGAGATAAGAGCTGGGAGAGGTCAGTTGCTGATTACCTGCAATGGGCAGAACAGACTCAAAGTGAGGATATTACTTAAATTTATTGCTAACAGGATAGGAGCCAAAGAGTGAGAAATAAAACAGTCTTAAAAACACCTTCCCCCCACCCCTCCTTCCCTCCATGTTCTCCCTCCTCCCTCCCAGCAGTGCAGGGGGACAGGAATGGGGGTTGCAGTCAGTTGTTGTTTCTGCTGCCGCTCAGGGAGAGGAGTTGGAGTCCTTCCCCTGCTCCCCTGGGGTCCCTCCCACGGGAGACAGTCCCTGATGAACCTCTCCAGTGTGAGTCCACCCCTCGGGCAGCAGCTCTTCCCAACCTGCTGTCCCGTGGGTCACTCCTCCATGGGGTCAGTCCCTCACGGATGAGCTGTCCCGGCGTGGGTCCCCCACAGGGGCCACGAGTCCTACCCAGGAAAAACCTGCTCCAGCCTGGGCTTCCCTCTCCACGGGCTGCAGGTCCCTGCCAGGACCCTGCTCCATCCTGGGCCTGCCACGGTGTCACAGCCTCCTTTGGGCATCCACCTGCTCTGGAGTGGGCTTCTCCATGGGCTGCAGGGGGGTCTCTGCACCCCAGTTCTCCCCCAGGGGCTGCAGGGGGGTCTCTGCACCCCAGTTCTCCCCCAGGGGCTGCAGGGGGGTCTCTGCACCCCAGTTCTCCCCCAGGGGCTGCAGGGGGGTCTCTGCACCCCGATGCTCCCCCATGGGCACGGGGCACAGCTGCCCCACCCTGCTCTGCCCCACGGGCTGCAGGGCCTCAGCTCCAGCACCTGGAGCACCTCCTGCCCCTCCTTCTGCACTGCCCTTGGGGTCTACTTTGTTGTTCCCATGTTCTCACTCCGCTCTTCCCTGGCTGGAATTCTTTCTGTCCCACAGCCTTCTGTTCTTAAATATGTTATCCCAGAGGTGTTACTGTCACTCCTGATTGGCTTGGTCTTGGCCAACAGCAGGGAGTCTGTCCTGGAGCCGGCTGGTGTTGGCTCCACAGGACAGGGGAAGCTTCTGGCAGCTTCTAAGAGAAACCACCCCTGTAACCACCCCCCCAGCGCTACCAAACCCAGCCACAGAAACCCACCACATTTCCCCAGCATGTTTTTAATGTGCACTGCAGGAACTTTGTCCCCTTCCACAGCACGTAAATATGTTGACTGGGCAGGGCCAGCCCGACTGGCAGATCCTCTGCTGTTGAGGAACCTTTGGTAAATGTGTAACCCAGTGTTTGCAGGCCCCACCAGCCTTTGCCCTCAGTGTCCTCTTCACCTGTCCCTTGCATCCTTGGATCTGCCCAGAGGCTGGTGCGTGACAGGGGATGTGATTCACCCGCTCAGGGCCAGGTTCTTTGGCCCAAGTGTCTCTGAGGCTGGTTCAGAAATGAGGTCCACTGTCTGATTCAGTTCTTTCAGGGATTTCATGTCACCATTAAAACTTGCTTCTCTAGTCCCAGGACAGTGTTCCAGGCAGTGCATTGGGAGACAGGAGATGTTTCCAGCCATCCAGTGTTGATTCCCCCATTGCAAGCACATGGCATTGCTGAGGGGTTTGGGGCAGTGGGATACAGACAATCTGCCAGGCCTCCCCATACTTATATTTCAGCCATTGTGAGCAAAACCCTCTCTAAACAGGTTTTTTTGGATGTCCAAACACTCCTTAGTTTGATATTTCTGAGTCTAAATCTTCACAAAATGAGTGTTTCTCAGCCCTAAAGCTCCCTAAAGCAGTTTTTTAGACCCCAAAATATCCCTAAATGGGTGTTTCTGAGCCAAAACTCTCCCTAAATTGTTCTTTCTCAGCTCAAAACATCTATAAATTGTTTTATTGTTTGGTTTGGGGTTTGTTTTTTCTTCAGTCCAAAGTTTGCTTAATTGGTGTTTCTGAGACTCGGAGCTCTCTAAATGTGAATTTCTGAGCCCAAAAGCTCCTGAAATTGGTATTCTGGAGCCCCAAGGCCCCCCAGATTGCTCTTTCTCAGCCTCAGATCTCCTGAAATCGCTGTTATTACCCCAAACCTCCAAAAGAGGAGTGTCTAAGCCACGAAGTTCCTGAAATTGGGGTTCCAGAACCCCGAACCCCCTAACTCGTGCCACACACCCCATTTGCCATCGGACCATGGGGTTCGCTCCCAGTGCTCCCAGTTCCCTCCCAGTGCCATTCCTGGTGCCCCGGGAGGCCCCAGGAGCAGGCAGGGGCCACTGGCTGTGCCCCCCTCACCCCAGCAGGACCCCGGGGCTCTGCCGTTCCTCTCCCGCCCCAGGAGCCGCCCCCTGCTCGGAGCATTTTCGCTTTCGGTTTCTAGGGATTTCCGAGAAACTGGTGTAAACCCGAGAACTGGGGTGCCAGGGGATAAAGGGCAGGGGTGGGTCCTGTAGGAGTGGGGTAGGGCAGGAGGAATATAAGCCTCAGGAGCCCCGCGGTGCTCCCACCCTCGCAGCGGAGCCGCTTCATCCCGACCTTCTTCCAGGTAAGTGCAGCCCCTCGCTCCCACCCTTCCCCCCGTGGGGCTACTTCTGCTCCCGAAATTAGTGTTTCTGAGCCCACAAGCTTCCTAAATCGCTGGTTTGGAGCTCCAAAGCTGCCTAAATGGGGGCTACTGAGCCCAAAATCTGCTTCACTTGGTCTTTTGGAGCCCAAAAGCTCTTTCATTCGCTCTTTCTGAGCTGAAAATATCCCCAAATCGCTATCCCTGACCCAAAGCTCCTGATACCAGGATACTGGTACTCAGGTTTTCTGAGCCTCAAGCTCCCCAAATTGGGGTTTCTTAGGCCCAAGGTTCACTAAATTGGTGGTTTGGAGCACCAGGGCTCCCTTAATCCCTCTGTCTGAACCTACATGCTACTTGAATTGCTGCTTCAGGCCCCACAAGATCCATAAATACTTGTTTCTGAGACCAGCAGCTCCCTAAATTGGAATTGGGTGAGCTCAAAAGCTCCCTAAATGAGACTTTCTGAGGCCAAAAGTTCCCTAAATGAGTGGTTTTGAGCCAAATGCTCCCGAAATTGGTGTTTTTCAACCCCAAATCTCCCTAAATCAGTGTTTGAGACACCAAAATCTCCCTAAATGGATGGTTCTGAGCCCCAAAGCTCCCTAAATCACTGCTTCTGAGATCAAAAGCTCCCAAACTTGCAGTATCTGAGACCAAAAGCTCCTGAGGGGCTGGGTTCTGAGCCCCTAAAACAGCAGAAGTTGCTGGTTTTGAGCCCAGAAGTTCGCTACACCTTTTTTTCTGAGCCTCAAAGATCCCAAAATGGGTATTTCTGAATGCAGGAGCTCCCTAAATCGCTGTCACTCAGCCCAAAAGCTCCCCAGATGGGTGTGTAGTGAGTTGACTCTGACTGGGTGCCAGGCACCCACCAAAGCCACTTGATCACTGCCCTCCACACCTGGACAGGGGAGAGAAAATACAGCAAAAGCTTCATGGGTTGAGATAAGGAGAGAGAGAGATCCCTCTCTGATTACATCATGGGCAAAACAGACTGGAATTGTGGAAATTAATTGAATTTATTACCAACAAAATCAGAGCAGGATAATGAGAGGTAAAAGAAATCTTACAAAAATCTTCCCCCCAAGCCCCCTCCATCCCAGACCCTCCCTCCTCCTCCTCAGTGGTTCAGGGAGACTGGAATGTAATCCAAAACATCACAGGCTGATCCCGCTGCTGCTCAGAGAGAGGAGTCGGAGTCCCTTCCCTGCTCCAAGGGGGGTCCCCCATAGGGCCACAAGTCTTTCCAGGAAAACCTCTTCCAGCGGGGGCTCCTCTCTCCAGGGATCCCCAGGTCCCTGCAGGGACTCTGCTCCAGCACAGGCTTCCCACAGGACCACATCCTCCTTTTGGGCATCCCCTGCTCTGGCGTGGGCTCCTCCTTGGGCTGCAGGGGAATCTCAGCCCTGGTGCCTGGAGCACCTCCTGCCCCTCCTTCTGCACTGCCCTGGGGGTCTGCAGAGCTGTTCATCTGTTCTCACTCTGCTCTTCTCTGGCTGTAATTCCTTCTGCACAACAGATGGAGCCACTGGAATTGGCGGTGCCGGACATGGGGGAAGCTTCTGGCAGCTGCTCACAGAACCCACCCCTGGAGCCCCCCCGCTACCAAAACCTGGCCACATGAACCCAATATAGGGGGTTTTGGAGCCCCAAAGCTCCCTGAATTGGTCCTTCTGGTCCAGATGCTCCCAAAATCAATGCTTTGAACATCAAAAGCTCGTTAAATCACTGGCTCTGACCCTAAAAGCTCCCTAAACGTGTGTTTCCTAGGCCCAAAGCTTCCTAAATCAGAGTTCCTGAACAAGACCCTCTCTAAACAATTTTTTTTGGAAGCCCAAAAATTCTTTGAATGGATATTCCTGAGCCCAGAATCTCCCAGAAGAGTGTTTCTCAGCTCCAAAGCTCCCTAAATTGGTGTTCTGGACCAAAAAATGTTTCTAAATGGGTGTTTCTGAGCCTAAATACTCCCTACATTGCTGATTCTGAGCTTAAAAGATCCCTCAATAAGGGTTTTTTAGGTCCAGAAGCTCCTGAAATCAGTGTTCCAGAGCCCCAAAGTCCCTGAAATCAGTTTCTCAGCCCCAAAGCCCCCATAATCATTCTTTCTGAGCCCCAGAGCTCCCAAAATTTGTCTTTCTGAGCCTTGCAGCTCCCAAAATTAACGTTCCAGAGCCTTGAATACCCCTAACTTAAGCCACATGCCCTGTTTGCCATCAGAGTGTGGGGTTCAGGGGCTAAAAATTCCAGTGCAACCCCAGAGCTCCCAGTATCGCTCACTGGTCCCCCCCAGCGCTCTCATTTCCCTCCCAGTGCTCCCAGTATCACACACCAACCCTCCACTTTCCACTCCCAAGTCTCCTCTGAAGCACCGTAGGGGAGTTTCCCACGCCAGGGCCTGGATTTTGGAGCTCATCTCTAAGGGGGTGGGGGCAGGAGAAGACCCTGCCCAGCCCTTTGAGCTCTCAGCTCTGGAGCTTCGTGGTTTTCCTGCAGCTCTTCCCATTTTTCTCTTCTCCAGGTGAAGGTCCTGGGTCGTGACATGCCCGGGGAGCCTCGGCAGGGCAGCTCCTGGCAGAGGGTGTCCTTGGTCGCAGCAGCTTCTGTGACCAAATACTCTGGAGCAGCCCAAGAGCTGGATGGGAGGTAGGAGCTCTGGGAGTGAGGGGTTTTCATGGCACTGTGGAATGGTTTGGAAGGCTGAGCGCTGGTGGAGCACACATTGGGCACCAAAAAGGACTGCTGTGGTTTAAGCCCATCCAACAACTAAGGAGCACACAGCTGCTCCTCCCTCCTACACAACTGCTCTTCCCTCCCATCATCCCCACCCCTGTGATAGGAGAGGAGAATCAGAAGGAGGTAAAACTGGTGGGTTGAGATAAGAACAGTTTAATAATTGAAATAAAGTAAAATATAATAACAGTAATAATAACAATAGTAATAGCAATAACGGGAATGAAAAAGAAAAATACTGAGAGGAATAAATGCCATGAAAAACCAGTGATGCACAAGGGAACTGCTCAGCACCCACTGACCGATGCCCAGCCCGTCCCCGGGAGGCACCTCCCAGTCAACTCCCCCAGTTCATGTACTGGGCATGATGTTCTGGGCTCTGGAATATCCCTCTGGCCCGTTCGGGTCACCCATCCTGGCCGTGCTCCCTCCTGGTTTCTCGTGCAGCTCCTCCCAGGCAGATCATGGACAACTGAAAGGTCCTTGACTTGGGGTGAGCACGACTGAGGCACAGCCGAAACACGGGTGTGCCATCAATGTTATTCTCCTAAATTCACACCAGGCAGGCTCGTCCCTGGCTCTCATAAAGCCCAGCAAAGGCCCTGGGGTGGATCATAGGGGAGCAGCAGGGTTCAGCCCTTGTTCCAGCAAACCCCAGGGAAGGCAAAGGCTTGGCAGTTCACAGCCTCCTGTCTCTCTTGGCTGCCCCCCCAGATCTTCTCAACTGCCTTCTCTTCTCTAGTCCTGTGCCCACCCCATAGATTTTGCTCCCCTTTTCCCTTGCATTGCAGAATGAACCCTGAGAAAAAGACCTGGGACAGAAGAGGCATGGAATTCCTGGGAGGAGCTGGTAAGAGCTGTGTTTCTTCTGCTTTGACAGTAATAGAAGGGGAAATAAGTGATTTAAAAACCCCAAGTACATCAGAGGTTTGAGCAGTATAAGGGATATGTGTGTCCCCAAAAAGCTCCTTCATGCATTCTTCAAATCCGGAGGGAAAAGTCCTAGTGAAGTTTCCTTTTTTCCTTTTTCTTTCCATGTGAACCCAGTGGGCAGAAATGGAGAGCTGGTGGCAGAGTGTCCTAAGAGATGTATTTGGGTTCATAAGTAGGTGTGCTGGATCCCATTCCTCTTGCCTGTGGTCATCTGAAAGTCTTTGAGAAGACAGGTCCAAATGAAAAGGCCAAGGGACAATGAAGGGCCCTGGGAGGTCCCTCTCCACTCGTGCAGTGTGGAGGAGGAGTGTCTCACACTTTGGGGGTGTCTCTGTTCTGGTGGGACTGTGCTGAGGCACCTGTGTGGTGCCTGAATGCTGTGGCAGCCGAGGCAGGTTCTTGGCCAGGAGAGCCTGAGTGGCCTCGAAGGTCAGAGCCCCCCCAGCGCTGCTGTCGGGCTCTGGTGCACAGGACCTTGTGGTTCCAGGGCCAGCTGGGTGGTGTGTTCTGCCCCAGAACCTGCTCAATGCATTCCAGGAGTTCCTCAAGGAAAAGTCCTTGTTAAATGTCCTCTTCTTCTCTTTGTTTTATTTCCATGTGACCCTGATGCCCAGCTGCTACGGTTGGTCTGAAGCTGGTCGAGAAATTCGTAGACGAGGCATTCGAGCGAACAAGTAAGAGTGCTGATCCCATTCCTCTTGTCTGTGCTCATCCTTGGGAACCACAGGGATGTGAGGGGTTATCCTTGAGAGAAGCAAAGCCAGTCTAGGTCTCTCTCCCGAGCCCATTACCTGCAGAACCCATTCAGTGCACAGCAGGAGGCCTTTGGGGTGGGGTGACTTTGGTCAGAGGGACGTCCCTCTCTGACCAGAGACACGTCCTGCTCTAGCAGAGGGTAACCCTGGCAATTGGTAAGGATTGAAAGACATAACACAGCACTTCTGGGATTTCCTCTCCTTCCCTTGACCACTAAAGGAGGAATCTCCTCCTGGGCTTTCCTCCAGGGCCAAAAGGGAGAAGCCTTTGCGTGCAGGTGAGGGCCAGGACTTGCCCACGCTACCTGGAAACTAAACCCTGCCGAACAAAGAGAAGAGACAAAGGCCTGTTGTGCATGAGGGCCCAGCACAGTGAGGTCAAATAGTCCCATCTGTCCATAAATTCCCACTTCCAAGGGCCTCCAGAAGTGCTTTGCTGTATTTCCCACCCTCATTCAGGTGTCCAGGCCCCCAGGGTGCAGAGCTGCCCCGGCAGTGGCTTTGCCCAGCACAGCCTGGGCTCTGCTGGCTCCCATCCTGCCCAGGTTCTAAGGCAGCTGTTTGTCTGTCCCTGCTCTTTGCAGCTGGCATGGGGGCAGGGCAATGTTCTTCCCTCAAGGAACCCTTGGAAATCAGCAGGGCCTGGGCTCTCCCCCGTGGCCAGGCCCTTGGGGAGTGAGGGGGCAGGGGGCTTCCTGTCAATGCTCCTCCCCAGCAGCACAGGAGCTCCAAGCCCATGGTTTCTGAGGGCTCACAGTGGTGCTGAGTCTCCTTTCCACAGACAAAAGCTGGAACAGAAAAGTCTCCATGTCCCAAGGAAGACTGGAGCTCCAGGAGAGAGACCAAGGCTCCTTCCCAGAGCAAATTCCTAGTGGGAAAGGATTTGAAAGCTGGGGAAGAGATCACTAATGGTGGCCACAGTGCATCAGCTCGGGAATTCCCCAGCCCTGTTTTTCAGGGATGAGCGAGTTCTTTTCCAAGGCTGCTGAATTAGGAAGGATTCTCTAAAGAAAAAGAAGTGTGGAGCAAACAAATTAGTAAACAGGCTGGACATGAGGGACCTGAGTCTGAGTTTCTTGTTCCCTCCCTGCATGAAGAAATAAGACAAAAAAGCCCATTTACATGTTTCACCTTGAGTGCAAGGTTTAATTCCTCTGAAGTGAGTATTTCTCAGGAGGAAAGAGAAGTTGAAAAGACAACCTGCAGGAAGGCCTAAGGAGAGACCCTGAAGAGGAGACTTGAAAACAGAGTATTTGAGCATCCTCAGGGCAGATGGGTGGTCTCCCCTTCAAGGGAGCAGTGTCAGTCTCCCACTGACATCAGTCTTTTTTCACAGAAAAAGGATGGGAACCAGAGGCCTCAAAGCCCCAGGAATCTTTGATGAAGGAGGACTTCCAGAAGTTCACGCAAGAAATGAAAGCTATGCGTGAAGATCTCCAGAAAGGGCAGGAATACACAAATTGGCTTTTTCAGCTGCTCAGAGAAAACCTGAACAAGGAACAAGGTGAGCAGGGCCATTCCCAAGCAGACTTCCATCTTTCTGAACACCAAAGCTGCTCTACAGGCAAACCACTCTGAGAGCTCGTCCTGCACAGCTCCTCAAAGGGGCTGGAGAAGGACGGCCCTGACATGGGGCACAGCTTTTGTGCTGCCTGACCCTGAAACAGCTCCCTGCTGAAGTGTTCTCTGCAGGTGGTCATGGCCACACTTGTCTCCCTCATCTCTGCAGAGTGTGTGCTGTGAGTTCTCTGATCCCCTGATCCTTGTTAAGGTTCCCCCCTTGCAGTCCTGTCAGCGCCTCTCTCCCTTTCCCCACTCCCCTTCTCCCACTCCCCACTCCTGGGGTTGTGTTGGGGCACATGTGATCCCAACCTTGTCTTCCTGTTGAAGATCCACAAGGAGACCCAGCTCCATGGGCACTGCAGGTGTCTCTGAGCACAGGGGCCTGTGGAGAACAGCTCTCCCTGAAGGAGCTGGTGCTGGGAAGGGAAGGAGTCAGCTGGGGCACAGACACCCCAGTGGGCCTGCTGAGCCCCAGATGGTGCTGCTGGGCCTGGCTCAGGCAGGACACAGTGTGTGTTGGGGCACAGCCTGTTGCACCCCGGGCAGGGAAACGGGAGACAAGATGGGCCTCACCTGCCTGGGGGTCCTGTTCTGTTTTACCCCCTCCCTCCCTCCCCTGGTAACCAGGATAGATTGAAGAGCACAGACACCAACTTTAAAGAATAAGTGTATAAGTTTCCTTTAGTGCAAGACAGTATAGAATTACAAAAGAAGCAGTGGCTTATCAAAGGATACACTTAGCAATGCATCTAATCATTACTACAGAGAAAGTCTCGGAGTGATTAAGAGACAGATACATCACCAGTTCCCCTAAGGAATCGTCATCATCCAGACCACACTTCAGCTGGGGAGCCCCGTGGCAGCGAAGGCCTGGAGAAGCCCTTCCCTGTAACTGGGAAATCCTGTGCAGTGCATCCACTCGTAGGTGGGGCCTCCATCCTCGCTGTGAGAGTTCAGCTTATACAGTGTTAAACAAACCAGCTGAGTCACTCGACTGGGGCAGAAAAACAATCTGCCTTTCTACCTCTGTTGGTGTTCCCCTTCCACCTGGCCAGGGCCCAGAGGGAGACCAAGGGAGTAGATTTGGAGCATCTACTATTAAATGCTTATTATGGCCTTGACTGGTCAATAAATACAGAACTTATCGCTACATTGAAATCAAATTGAACCAGCTCCGACCATGTGAGGCCCTACTATTTTTCGTGACCTTGGCTGGAAAGAAAAGGCATATTTATAACACATACAGGCCTTACTAATTATTGATAACATGCTGGGCTAACAAGCATAAATGTGTGTTCTTCAGGCAGTACTAAGGATTATATAGCATCTTGGTTAATAAGCAGATATAGGGAGAAATACAATACTAGGTAGGAGAGCTCATCAACTTTGGCTCAGGGACGGTTCTTCAGGCCCCAGCATTGCAGGTTCTTGCAGCAGCTGCAGGAGCAAATCTCTGGCAGTGAGCAGCCCAGAACAGTCCAGGGCAACCCCTTGACTTCCTGATGGTTCAGGCCATTGTGGCCTTAGAATGAAGCCTGTGACCCTCTTTTCAAAGCTGAAGCCATATTTAATTGAGCTACAGAAAGCACCGATGAGAGGCTGAAAAGGGAGGAAAATGTGGTCTGAGTTTCTTGTTCCCTCCCTGCTAAAAGATAGAGGACAAAGGGAAAACCATTTCCAGATTGTACCTCCATCACAAAATTGAATTCCTGTGAGCTGAGGATTTCTGAGGGGGAGTGAGCAAGGAAAATATACCCCCAGAGGAGAGTTATAAGAAGATGATCCTCTGACAGAGAGCTTAAATCAGGGCCTTTGGGCATCCTTGTGTCAGAGAGCTGGTCTGCCTCTCAAGGAGGAAGCATCAGTGTTATGGTTCCAAAGCCAGGGCGTGGAGCTTTGTGATGAATGTCCACCCCATCCCCTCATCCTATGGGCCGAGGGCTTGACAGGAAGAATCGGAGGACCAGAAAGGGAAGGGTGGCCATCCTCTTCCCCCTGGGCACTGGAGTGAGAGGCAGCCACTTTTCTCCAGCCTGCCTGCAGGTCACAGTCGCTGTTGGGGCTGGCACTGCCCAGACTGCACTGAGGGACCTTGGCAGCAGGAGCCCCTGCGAGTCCCAGCTGCTGCCTTGTGTGTTATCCCTGGCAGAGGCAAAGCCAGTCAAGGTCTCTCTCCCGAGCACATTACCTGCAGAATCCCTTCAGTGCACAGCAGGAGGCCTGGCCTTTGGGGTGGGGTGACTTTGGTCAGAGGGACATCCCTCTCTGACCAGAGACACGTCCTGCTCTAGCAGAGGGTAACCCTGGCAATTGGTAAGGATTGAAAGACATAACACAGCACTTCTGGGATTTCCTCTCCTTCCATTGACCACTAAAGGAGGAATCTCCTCCTGGGCTTTCCTCCAGGGCCAAAAGGGAGAAGCCTTTCCGTGCAGGTGAGGGTCAGGACTTGCCCACGCTACCTGGAAACTAAACCCTGCCGAACAAAGAGAAGAGACGAAGGCCTGTTGTGCATGAGGGCCCAGCACAGTGAGGTCAAATAGTCCCATCTGTCCATAAATTCCCACTTCCAAGGGCCTCCAGAAGTGCTTTGCTGTATTTCCCACCCTCATTCAGGTGTCCAGGCCCCCAGGGTGCAGAGCTGCCCCGGCAGTGGCTTTGCCCAGCACAGCCTGGGCTCTGCTGGCTCCCATCCTGCCCAGGTTCTAAGGCAGCTGTTTGTCTGTCCCTGCTCTTTGCAGCTGGCATGAGGGCAGGGCAATGTTCTTCCCTCAAGGAACCCTTGGAAATCAGCAGGGCCTGGGCTCTCCCCCGTGGCCAGGCCCTTGGGGAGTGAGGGGGCAGGGGGCTTCCTGTCAGTGCTCCTCCCCAGCAGCACAGGAGCTCCAAGCCCATGGTTCTGAGGGCTCACAGTGGTGCTGAGATTCCTTTCCACAAACAAAAGTTGGAAGATAAAAAAAGTCTCCATGTCCCAAGGAAGACTGGAGCTCCAGGAGAGAGACCAAGGCTCCTTCCCGGAGCAAACTCCTGGTGGGAAAGGGTTTGAAAGCTGGGGAAGAGATCACTAATGGTGGCCACAGTGCATCAGCTTGGGAATTCCCCAGCCCTGTTTTTCAGGGATGAGCGAGTTCTTTTCCAAGGCTGCTGAATTAGGAAGGATTCTCTAAAGAAAAAGCAGTGTGGAGCAAACAAATTAGTAAACAGGCTGGACATGAGGGACCTGAGTCTGAGTTTCTTGTTCCCTCCCTGCATGAAGAAATAAGACAAAAAAGCCCATTTACATGTTTCACCTTGAGTGCAAGGTTTAATTCCTCTGAAGTGAGTATTTCTCAGGAGGAAAGAGAAGTTGAAAAGACAACCTGCAGGAAGGCCTAAGGAGAGACCCTGAAGAGGAGACTTGAAAACAGAGGATTTGAGCATCCCCAGGGCAGATGGGTGGTCTCCCCTTCAAGGGGGCAATCTCAGTCTCTCTCTGACACCTGTCTATTTTTTCACAGGAAAGACAGAGGAGGAAAATCCCCCAGAGGCTCAGGGATCTGTGATGGAGGAGACCCTTGTGCAGCTCTGCAAAGAAATGAAAGCTATGCGTGAAGATTTCCAGGAAGGGCTGGCATCCACAAAGCAGGATATTCAGCTGCTCAGAGAAGACCTGAACAAGGAACTAGGTGAGCAAGGCCACTCCCAAGCAGACTTCCATCTTTCTGAACACCAAAGCTGCTCTACAGGCAAACCACTCTGAGAGCTCCTCCTGCACAGCTCCTCAAAGGGGCTGGAGAAGGACGGCCCTGACATGGGGCACAGCTTTTGTGCTGCCTGACCCTGAAACAGCTCCCTGCTGAAGTGTTCTCTGCAGGTGGTCATGGCCACACTTGTCTCCCTCATCTCTGCAGAGAGTGTGTGCTGTGAGTTCTCTGATCCCCTGATCCTTGTTAAGGTTCCCCCCTCGCAGTCCTGTCAGCGCCTCTCTCCCTTTCCCCACTCCCCTTCTCCCACTCCCCGCTCCTGGGGCTGTGTTGGGGCACATGTGATCCCAACCTTGTCTTCCTGTTGAAGATCCACAAGGAGACCCAGCTCCATGGGCACTGCAGGTGTCTCTGAGCACAGGGGCCTGTGGAGAACAGCTCTCCCTGAAGGAGCTGGTGCTGGGAAGGGAAGGAGTCAGCTGGGGCACAGACACCCCAGTGGGCCTGCTGAGCCCCAGATGGTGCTGCTGGGCCTGGCTCAGGCAGGACACAGTGTGTGTTGGGGCACAGCCTGTTGCACCCCGGGCAGGGAAAGGGGAGACAAGATGGGCCTCACCTGCCTGGGGGTCCTGTTCTTGCTGCAGGAGCAAAACTGTGGCAGTGAGCAGCCCAGAACAGTCCAGGGCAACCCCTTGACCTCCTGATGGCTCAGGCCATTGTGGCCTTAGAATGAAGCCTGTGGCCCCCTTTTCAAAGCTGAAGCCATATTTATTGAACTACGGAAAGCATCAATGAGAGGCTGGAAAGGGAGGAAAATGTGCTCTGAGTTTCTTGTTCCCTCCCTTCTAAAAGACAGAGGGTAAAGGGAAAACCATTTCCAGATTGTACCTCCATCACAAAATTGAATTCCTGTGAGCTGAGGATTTCTGAGGGGGAGTGAGCAAGGAAATATACCCCCAGAGAGGAGAGTTATAAGAAGATGATCCTCTGACAGAGAGCTTAAATCAGGGCCTTTGGGCATCCTTGTGTCAGAGAGCTGGTCTGCCTCTCAAGGAGGAAGCATCAGTGTTATGGTTCCAAAGCCAGGGCGTGGAGCTTTGTGATGAATATTCACCCCATCCCCTCATCCTGGAGGGTGGGTCTTTGAGAACCTGTTTGCTCTGGTTTGGTTTAATTTGTTTCTTTTCCCCTGCATGGTCCAGAGGGCAGGGGAGCCTCCCAATGTTTTGTCTTTGCTTGGGGCAGCCATGTGGTAGCTGCCATTTGGGGCTTTTCTGTCCCCGGGTAGGGGAACTAGGAAACAATTTCTGCCTTTTTAGCTTAAACCATTTTCCCTTGGTTCTTTGGAGTTCCTGCTATTTCCTTTTTAAATTTTTGGGTTTGTACTTTTATCTCTTCCTTATATGGAGAGGACATATTATATTATGTCCCTTCATTATTGGAGAGGAGTAGGGAGAGGTTGAAACAAAAGGGGAGTGATTTGTTTACAATCTCAATCCACCAGTAACTGTGCAAAGCCATCACAGTCAGTGACCCAGGATCATTGTTCTGCCTTCACAGACAGGAAAATGAAGAAAATGGCGAAGGCCCAGAAATCCAAGATGGACAAGGAATTCCAGCAGTTCCGCCAAAGAATTCAAACTCTGGAACAAGAATTATATGGGAGGCAGGGGTCCAAACAGCACATCCTTCAGCTCCTCGGAGCAAAAATGGAGATGGAACACGGTGAGCAGGGCCATTCCCAAGCACTTCCATCTCTCTGGATGCCAAAGCTGCTCTACAGGCAAACGACTCTGAGAGCTCGTCCTTCTCCATCTCCTCAAAGGGGATGGAGAAGGACGGCCCTGACATGGGGAGAGACCCAGAGAAGCTGCCTTCAGTCCTGGGAATCACCACCACAATCCATCCCGTGACTAAAGGCCACTTGTCTGGGCCTCTGCACACAGGGAACAAACAGCTTTTGTGATCTGTGACACTGAAACAGCTCCATGCTGAAGTGTTCCCTGCAGGGGGTCAAGGCCCCTCTTCTCTCCCTTGTCTTTGAGGGCAGTGAGGACAGCTCTGACCCGATGGGTGCTAAAGGTGTCCACTCCCAGTCCTCCCACACACTCACCTTCCTCGTGACAGAGGGTTGTCTCCCATGGCCCACGGATGCTGTCTGCAGACGTGGAGGGGGATGATCCCTACCCCCCATCCTGCCCCCCAGGCCTTTGCCAAGGCCTCAGGAAGGCTCACAGGGCCTGGGCTCTTTCCCCAGCCCTGCTGCAGTCAACCCATCCAACCAGTTCAAGGAACCTGGTCAGGAATAAGTGCAGGCACCAGTCCAGGCTCAGGGCTGACCCTCTGGCAAGTAGCTGTGCAGAGAAGGCCCTGGGGGTTCTGGTGGACAGAGAGCTGACCAAGGGTCAGCAATGGCCAAGAAGACCCAAGGCTGCCTGCGCTGCCTTCGGAAGAGCTTTGCCAGCAGGCCAAGAGAGGAGCAGCCCTGGTGAGGCACATCTGGAGTGCTGTGTCCAGTGCTGGGTTCCTAAGTACAAGGGAAACATGGAGCTCCTGCAGCGGGTCCAACTGAGGCTGCAGAGATGATCAGGGGCTGGAGAGGCTGAGGGAGCTGGGCCTGTTTAGTCTGGAGAAGTCTGAGAGGGGACGTCATCAGTGGACACAAGTGTTTGAAGGGTCAGGAGGATGGAGCCAGGCTCTTCTGGGTGGTGCTGAGTGATAGGATGGGAGGCAATGGGCAGAAAGGGAAACAAAGCAATTTCCACCTGAACATGAGGAAGAACTTCATTACTGTGAGGGTGACTCAGCACTGGGGCCAGTTCCTAGAGAGATTGTGGAGTCTCCTTCTTTGGAGATATTCAAAAGCCCCTGGAGGAGGTTCTGGCCACCCAGCTCCAGAGGGTCTCTGGAGGTCTCTTGCAACCTTCACCTTGTCTGTGTTTCTGTGATTCTGTACAGGGCACGAGACATCTGAAAACACAAGTTTCAGAATCTACAAAGTCAGATGTAGCTGGATCTCTACCCAATTCCTGTGTGGGTTTTATTTTCACTTCCTCTTGGCTCTTTAATCTTTTGCAGGTGTGCCGATAGAAAGTGCATCAGAAGACGAGGGCACTGATACAGATGCATAGACATCTCCTGAGCAGGTGAAGCATTGATCAACAAAATTAAAGTCTGGCTCTCATTACATTTCTCTTGAGCTTGGCCCCCCACCCCCTGCACTCCCTGGGCTTGCTGTGTTGGGAAGTGCTCGTGCTGCTGGAAGACTGAGATAATTGTTAGGGCTTTTCTCCCTCCTGTGAGCTGGTTCCTCCTGTGCCAGGGCAGATCCATCCACTGCCCGGTTTCAACAAGTGAAGGCAACAGCAGCCAAAGTGCAACCCAGAGCAGAGCTGAATTACCCAGCGAGCTCTACACAAAATCTCAGGGCAGAGTTCTGGGAATCCTGGATTTTAAGTGTTTTAACATTTTGTGTGTGTGAGGAATCCGGGATGTACAGCAGTGGGGGAACCATTTCACCTGGAGAATGAAGTGTTCAGTTGCAGTCCTGATTTTTCTGTGACATGTTTACTCCACTTGCATTACCTGTCTTCTTTCCTGCTTCTGTTTTTAGTTAATGTTTATCAGTATGTTATAGGTAAATAAACCAAATCAAAATATAGCAGCAAAATTTATTATAAGATTTATATAAAGTGCAGATAAGCAAATCAGCGCATTGGGTGGCCTGGAGAGACCCCTGCTCTCCAACGGCCCACAAGCTCAATAGAGACAAACAGTAACTTTTTCAACTCCCCTCCCATAGTCACTTGTTAGCTCTTCATTGGGCTTGAGTTCGCGGGCTTCGTTCTGGTTGGTTCTGTTGTAGGCCCATTTTGATTGCCAGGGACTTTCCATCAGTAGCTTTAATTAACTCAAATGTCCTTGAAGCTGGACATGAGTATGGTGCCCAGATGTTCTCTTTGGCTCTTCTTTATCATTTTCATCCTTGACTCCTTGATCCTTGTTCTCTTCTTCTTTTCTAATGAGTACATTAGACAATATTTTTAGAAAAACAGGATATAGTACACATGCTCAGTAAAGCAAAATACTTTGCCAACTAGGAAACTGACAGTTGCAGGATAGTCAACTTATAATAGTAGCACAGCAGTTAACTATTCCGCAGCTTACAACTCCTCAGTCCCAACAAAGCATTAGCTATAATATATGAAAAGTACATATATATATTTTGACGAATAAATTTTACCATTGCTTACTCATTACACAAACCTATAGTACCAGTATAAAAAGCCAAGCTTTAATCCTTACCCAGCCCCAAAAGCTCTTCCCCTAATCATGAACCAGACACCACCAGGAGAACAACAAAGCTCCCAAAGTTCTGCCTCATCCCCAGCCTGAGCTCTAAACCCCAAGCCCTGACCACTGAGCACCCCCCCAGCCCTTGGGAGCAGGGCAAGGACCTGCAGGGCCCAGAGCAGGCCCAGGGGGTTGGCAGAGGAATGGGAGGTGACCTGGATCTGCTCAGCTCTGCAGTGACCCCCAGGAGAAGGGCCTGGGCTCTGGCAGGGATGTCCTGTGGCACAGGGGCTCAGGATCCAAGTTCAGAAGGCCAAGTGCCCCTGGCAACAGCCAGAGCTGGTGCAGAGCCATCAGGGAGGGTCTGGAAATGCTGCTGGGAGGGGGTGGGAAAGCAGGAGGGGTGTGTGCAGCCTGCAAGGCCAGAGCAGCAGCAGGGCCAGGGCAGGACAGCCTGCAGGAGAGATGGCCAAGGGCTCTGGCAGGGCTGCAAGGCCCAAAGGCACCCAGGCCTTTGTCCCCTTGCCTCTGGCAGCTGCCTCTGCCACTCAGGCCACCACAAGCCACTTTCCTGGCAGGTTCTGCCCTTGGGTTCTGCCTCGCCCCTCCCCAGGAGCCTGGCAGGGGTTGCCCAGTTTGGGCCTTTGTTGTTCCTCCCCCTCCCATCCCAGTGCCCCCCAAACAGCCCTGAGCCAGCCGGGAGGGACAGGATCTGCTGGGCCAGGGCCTGGGGCTCAGCCCTTGGCCTTTGTGCTGCACAAAACCAAGGCAGGCTTTGCTCAGCATTGCAGGGGCCTGCCCAGAGCCTTTGTCTGCCTGCACTCCTGGCCTCCAAGGAGCTGCTCCAAGGAGTCCCTGGGGAGGCTTTGGCAGTGCCTGCCCTCAGTGGGGCCCAGCAATGCTTCAAGGCACTTGGAGTTTGGCTTCTGACTTCTTCAGCAGCTGCTTCAGTCTTCTCTCAGTACCTGAGGATGATGGACTTGTCTCTAAACATACCATGGAGCTCATTAAAACACAGAAAAACAAATTCTTTCCCTTCCTTTAATTGTCTTCAAGTCTTCAAGACATCAACAACTAATTGGAGTTGTTTTGTTGTTTAGCTAAGGAGGAAAATTTTAAAGTAGAAGTCATGGAAAATATATTTTTTGATGAAAGGGAGTGATTTCCACAGTGCCTTGGGATGCCAGAGGGTCAGAGTGCAAAGGATTTGGACACAAAGATAAAGGGGCAAAAGAGATTAGTAGCATTTAATTATTGACCAGTTTAACAGTTATCAAGTGATTCAATAGCATTTGGTACAATTTTAAATGTGACTGAACTAGAGATTCACAACAACCTTCACCCCACAGTCAATTCACACCCACACCCAGGCAGAGCTGTGTGGACACATCAAGAGCTGGGTGTAGAAAGGTCCCTCTCCTGGGGCGAGCACAAATCCCCCCCCAGTGCTGAGTGACAGCTGGAGCGCGGCAGCTCCCTGTGTGAGGCTGGGGCGAGCCCCAGGCTGGATTTCAAAGGGAGTTGGGGGGTGAGGGCAATGGCTGAGGGCTGAGGGGCGATGGCTGAGGGCGAGGGCACTGAGGGGGAGGGCTGAGGGAGGTGGCTGAGGGGCCATGCCTAGGGGCGATGGCTCAGTGCTGAGGGGCGATGTGTGAGGGCCATGGCAAGGACGGCAGTGGCTGAGGGCCAGGGCCCCTCGCCTCTCCGGTGCCACACGCAGAGCCCAGTGCCGGGGCTTGGTTACAGGGATTCAGGGAGCCACCTGGGAGAGGTCCCAGTTGGACTCAATGATCTTGGAGCTCTTTTGCAACCTTCCTGATTCTGGGATTCTTTTCCCGTTGGAGCTGCAGCACGTTGGCTTTCCCAGGGCAGCTTCCTTTAGGACAGCCTTGCTGAGAGCTTTGCAGCTGATGGCACAGGGATCTGTGAGGAGCAGCCCAGAGCAACTGCTGCCTTAGGTGGGGGTGGCCGAGGGGAAGCCCTCCTGTGTCGGCCCAGGCTGCTGCAGGCAGGCAGTGCTGGGGAGGAACACACTGCAGCCTGGCCCCAGGGAGTGACCTCTGGGAGATGAGACTTTTGGGGAGAAATTGTTCCCTGGGAGGGAGGTGAGGCCCTGGGCCAGGTTGCCCAGAGAAGCTGTGGCTGCCCCACCGTGGGAAGTGTCCAAGGTCGGGTTGGACGGGGTTGGAGCCAGCTGGTGTGGTGGAAGGTGTCCCTGCCCAGGTGTTCTGATCCCATTAGGGAGAGATGCCTCAACCCGAATTAAGGTGTAAATGAGACCATTTGCTGACAACAGGCGGAGCAAAATGGCGGCCGCCGCGCCGCCGCACGGGTGCAGCCAATCAGTGTAATAAGTGAAACGAGGCTATAATTTGGGTTGCAAGGTAATAAAAGATTTATTAATGCCAACAAGCAAAAACGGCCAGCCGGGCGACAGGAGGAAACCTCAGTTCCTACCACTGTCCGCAAAGAGGAACAGAAACAGCACTTGTTATACCCTCTGATGTCACCTCCCCCCAAAGTCATGTCATCAGTCCATTGGTGGAGGTTTCACGGGCTGCATCCTGCTTGGTTCCCTCTTCGCGGGTCAACTTGGGGTTGGTTCCTCCTTTCGCGGGCAATCCACCAAGAATTTCAAAGTCATTGATTTCTATGAAGCCGTGGTCCTGGAAATTTCCATCAGGGTGACGGTTGATCACCCGGACTCCTCGTGGTCTACCCCTCCATATTGGTTCCTATTAATATGCTTAGAACAAACATCTCCAAAATACAATATGCTAAATCATTCTTGCGTTGTGTTAATCATTCCACAGCTTACAGAACTTGTGGTTAGGCATTGCACAACTCGTCAGCTTATAATTCCAACAAAGCAGTTAACACAATACAGCAACTGGATTAACTTTTTCCCATTTTGAGCAGCAAATTTCTTTAGATCACTTATAATATTAGCAAGCGGGATTCTCCTTAAGGAGGAACAAAGCGCGGCCATTTTGGGCAAGACACGGGACAGCGGCAGCCAATCAGCGCTGAGCATACGCAAATCTTTATTAATTTGTATGGCCAGTCTTCGCGAGCGAAGATTTGGGAAAGGTCATTAACCCTTCGAGCCTGTGCAGTGGATTTTTTTTTTTTTTTTTAGGTGAGACACAGTGTGCGCTGAACTGAGCCCCCCCTTTAATCCTGAGGTTCATCTGCCGGGGCTGAGCAAGCTTGGACAGTGCAGTGAGGTACTCAGGACGTAGGTTTGTTTTTAGAGTGACCTTCTCTTAGATGGATGGCCTTACAGGGCTGACGAGCTCCATCTGCCCGGGGGAGTTTTTCCCTGGCCGGGAATTGAACCCGGGTCGCAGCGGTGAGAGTGCTGCAACCTAACCACTAGACCACCAGGGGCTAGTTTTGTTTTAAAAGCAAGATAAGGCCGGAGCGAAGGGCGGAGCGAAGGGTGGGGCTTGATCTCACTTCCGGTTGGGCTTGGGGGTGCCGATCACGCGGTCTTTCACCTGGGGGGGATGGGGGCGGGTGAGACCCCCAAAACCAGCCTCAAGACCCCCCAAACCCCCCGTGACCCCCCAAAACTCCTCCAGTGACCCCCAAGCCCCCTCAAATGCTCCCGTGACCCCCCAAATTCCCTCTGTGACCTCCCCAAACCCCCCTGAATCCCACCCAAAACTCCCCCTGGCCTCCCCCAAGCCCCTCTGTGACCTCCTCAAACCTCTCCCCAGACCCCCCAAGCCCCCTCTGTCACCCCCCCAAATTCCCTCTGCGACCCCCCAAACTCCTTCAAATGCCCCCGAGGATCCTCCAAAACTCCCCCAGTGACCCCCAAACCCCCTCAAATCCCCCCCAACCGCCCCCGGACCCTCCAAACCCCCCCCAACTCCAACATAAATTCCATCCCAAATCCCCCCAAAACTCCCCCAAACCCCTTCAAATCCACCTCAACCCCCCTCCTGGACCCCCCAAACTCCCCTAACCCCCCCAAACCCCTCTGTGAGCCCCCCCGGAACCCCCAAATCCTCTCTGTGACTGCCCAAACCTCCTCAAATCCCCCCCAAAACTCCCCCAGGACCCCCCAAACCCTCCTGTGACCCCCAAAGCCCCCCCAAAGCCCCTCAAATCCCCCCCGAATCCCAAATTTCCCCCAAAATCTCTCCTAAATCCCAAATTTTCCCCCCAAATCAGAGAATTTCAGGGGGTTGGGGGGAAATTCGGGGAATTTGGGGGGAAATTCAGGGAATTTGGGGGGAAATTCACATTATTTGGGGGCATTGGGGAGGAAATCAGGGAATTTCAGCAGGTTGGTGGGGAAATCAGGGAATGTGGGGGCATTCAGGGGAAAATCAGGGAATTTGGGGGGATTCAGGGGGAAATGGGGGGGATATTTAGGGAATTTTGGCAGGTCAGAGGGAGGATTTCGGGAAGGCCTGGGGAATTCTAAGGGGGATTTGGGAATGCCGGGGGGGGGGGAAACAGGAATTCTGGGAAATAAATGGAAATTTGGGGGAAAAAAGGATTTGGGGGGGAAAAAGGGGATTTTTTGAAGGAAAAGGGGGAGTTGGAGGGGTGGAAACAAGAGGGGCAAAGGCAAAAAAGGACATTTTTGCCCACAAAAGGCCTTTTTTTGCTGCAAGAAGAGGACGTTTTGGAGGGGGAAAAGTGGGATTTTTGAGGGGAAAAAGGATGTTTTCAAAGGAAAAAAAGGACATTTTTGAGGGGGAAAAATGACATTTTTGAGAAGGTAAAATGACATTTTTGAGGGGAAAAACCAATGTTTTTGCAGGGGAAAAAGGGATTTTTGAGGGGAAAAAACATTTTTGAAGAGAAAAAGGGCCATTTTTGAGAGGGCAAAAAGGGATTTTTGAGGGAAAAAAAGACATTTTTGAAGGTAAAAAAGGGATTTTTGAGGGGGAAAAAAATTATATTTTGAGAGGAAAAAATTACATTTTTGAGGGGAAAAACAACGTTTTTGCAGGGGGGAAAAGGATTTTTGAGAGGAAAACCCAACATTTTTGAGGGGGGAAAAAAGAAATTTTTGAGGGGAAAAAAGGGATTTTTGAGGGGAAAAAGGGCATTTTTGGGTGCAGCCCTTCTCACCTCGTCGGGCTGGCTGACAATGAGTGTTGTGGAGTTCTGCGGGGAGAAGTGCAGGTGCTGCAGCCCCCGCTGCCGCTCTGACTCCTCCGGCAGCACGGACCGCACACGGCAGAACACGGGGATGTTGTCCTGGAAAACAGGGAAAAAATAGGATTTAGGGAAAGTTTAGGGGGGGTTCCCCTCATAAAATACCCCCCTCTGCCCCAGACCCACTTTGGGCTCCTGGGTGTCATTGTGGAGGCGGCGTCGCTCCATCTCCAGATGGTGGATCTGTTCTTCCTGCTGATCCAGGAGGGATTTTTGTGATTTCTGTACCTCCTGGAGAGCGGCCATCTGGTGCCGCTGCAGGTGGAGATGGTCCTCGACCCGCCTCCGGTGAGCCTGGGGAGGAACGGGGGGGAAATGGCACCAAAAGGGAAAAAAACAGCGGAATCGGGGCAAAATTCCCAAGGTTTTCCTGACTTTTCCCAAATTTTGAGGTGCCACGAAGCGGATTTTGACGCCAAAATGGCAGAACAGGTAAAAAAGTGCCATTTTTTCCAGATTTTTGAGGGACCTCCTGAGGGATTTTGATGCCAAAAGCAGCACAATTGGTGAAAATTCCAAATTTTTTTCTCGGTTTTTCAGCATCCTCGGAGGGATTTTTGGCCGAAAAATCGTGAAATTGGTAAAAATTTCCATTTTTCCCATGAGAATTTTGAGGTGCTCCCCCCAAGGGGTTTTGGGTGGAAAATTCCCTTTTTTTCTTCTTTTCCCAAATTCTGCGGCGCTCCCTGAGAGATTTCAATGCCACAAAGCTCAAAATTGGTGCAAACCCCCATTCTCCCACCTTTTTTTTTTTGGCACCACTGGTGGATTTTGGGCACAAAACCGCCAGACGTGGTGCAAATTCCTCATTTTTCCCAATCTTTCCCGATTTTTTGGGATGGGTTTTTGATGCCAAAAAGAAAGCCGAAATCGGAGCAAATCCCCGATTTTTTCCCCATTTTTCCCAAATTCTGAGGTGTTTTCGGTTCAAAAACCAGCAACACTGGTGCGAATTCCCATTTCTTGCCTTTTTTCCTTGACTCTTCCCATGTTTTCGGGCCCCCCGTGAGGAATTTTGGGCTCAAAAGACCGGGAATTGCTGCCACCCTCAGAGTTTCCCGCCTTTTTTTCCTCCGCGTTGGCGCCCCCTGGCGGATTTCGCCCCACAAAGCACCCAAACGGCTCCGGATTTCCCCGGTTTTTTCCCCGAAAGTTTTTGGGAATTCCAGGCCCCCCGCCAACCTCTGTGTTCTCCGAGATGTTTGAGAGCTCTTCCTCCGGAGCTCTGGTCTCATTCTGTCGCTGCTCCTCCTCCCGCAGACGCCGCTCCAGTTCCGACTCCAGGGAGCTGCGGGAAAGTCCCAGAATTTCTCCCTGAATCCCCCCCAAATTCCCATCAAACCTCTTCCCAAAGCCCCGCCCAAAAGTCCCGAACCCCCTGGAATTCCCAACTCCCCCTTAGAATTCCGAAATTCTTCCCAAATCCTCCCTCTGATCCCCCAAATGCCCTGAATTTTCCTGAATTTCCCCCTGAATTCCCACCAAATCCCTTCCCAAACCCCCCTCAGAATTCCCAAATCCTCCCTCTGACCCCCCAAATGCCTGGAATTTCCCCCCGAATCCCCCCAGATTCCCTGAATTTCCCCCCAAATTCCCTGGGTGTCTCTGAATTTCCACCCAAATGCCCCCAAATCCCCTGACTTTCCCCCCAAATTTCCCCCTGAATCCCCCAAATTCCCAAATTGGAATTCCCAAACCTCAAGGGGCTTGGGGGATTTGAAGGCAATTTGGAGGGAATTGATACGATTTTGGAGGGGGCTTTGTGGGGAATTGGGGAATTTGTCGAAGGGTTTTGGGGAATTTCTGTGGGGAGCCTTGAGAGAATCTCAGAAAATTCCCATGTTGAGGGATTTTGAGGAAATCTCTGGAATTTGGGGCGATTTGGGGAAATTGTGGAGAAGTTGGAGGGAATTGGGGAATTTTTGGAAGGCTTTTGGGGGAAATTCTGTGGGATCTTGAGGGGTTTGGGGTTGACTTGCGTGGACTTGAGGTCAATTTTTGTGGATTTTCAGAAGATTTGAGGGATTCTTGATGGAATTTGCGGGGGTTTGGGTGGATTTCAGGGGAATTTTGGTGGTTCCCTCACCCCACTCGGAGGCAGCTTTCCCACAGCTCCGGCTGGAGGGGGATTTTCAGTGGATCTTTGACAGATTTGGAGTGGGTTTTGAAGGAATTTTGCTCCATTTCAAAGGATTTCAGCTCAGTTCTGCAGGATTTCCTGGGATTTTGAGTGGATTTCAGGGCAATTTGGAAGGATTTGGATGGATTTTGTTGGCGTTTTTTACAGGATTTGGGCGGATTTTGCTGGATTTGGGGCAGTTTTGGGGGATGTTTCGGTGCTTTGCTCACCGTACTCTGGAGCTCAGGGTGCTCTCTCTCCTCTCCCGCTCCCTGAGCTCCTGATGTAGAGTCTCTGTGGACTCCTTGAGCTGCTCCCTGGACTCCTTGAGCACCTGGTTCTGCCTTTCCAGGCCCCGTTTGTCTCTCTGCAGCTTCCGGAGTTGCTTCAGGGCCTGGTCCAGCTTGTCCCGGAGCTCCCGTGACTGCACCCACAGGATGAGGCCAGAGCTCGGGAGCGAGCGCTGTTGGAAACGTGGAAAACACAGAGGTTTGCGGGGGGCCTGGAATTCCCAAAAACTTACAGGGACCGGAGAAAAAAAATTAAGATAGTCCAGAGCCAGTTCCTCCCTGATGTCCCCAAACCCCTCCTCATTGTCCCCAAACCCGGGTTTCCCCCCAGGATCCTCCGGTGCCCCCCCAAACGCTCACCCTGGGACCTGTGGGTATAGATGCAGGAGCTACAGGACAAGCTGGGCCAGACCCGGAACCAGCTCCGGAAGCTGCACAGAGAAAAATGGGGCCTGGAGTGTGAGAATTGGGAGCTCAAGGAGTCCCAGGAGCAGCTCCAGAGGGAGCTCAAGGAGTCCCGGGAGCAGCTCCAGAAAACCTTTGGAAAACCGGTACTAAAACCACCTCAGTCAGCCTGAAAGCCTTGGAATTCGGCCTCCCCACCCCCAAAATCCCCCCCAGAATTCCCAAAATTCCCCAAATACCCCTCCCCCACCCCTAAAATTCCCTCCCCTGGAACTCCCAAAACGGGCGGAAAACCAGGACTAAAACCGCCTCGGTCATCCCGAAATCCTGGGAATTCCAGCCCCTAAAAATCTCAGAATCCCAGGTTTGGGGTTTTTTTGGGAATTACCTCCCAACCTTTCCCCTTCAGGTCGTGGGTGCTCTGGAAGAGGTGTCGGACGGCCCTCGGGATCATCCCGCGGGATTCAGGATCTCCGGGCGGTTCCAGTCCTTCCATGGTGAATGTCTTCCCACTTCCAGTCTGCCCGTAGGCGAAGATGCAGACGGGATACCCATCCAGGGCAGACTGGGAATGGGAATGCACGGAATGCTGAGAGGAGTGGGAATTCTGGGAAATAAATAGGAATTTGGGGGAAAAAAAGGATTTGGGGGGGAAAAGGGGATGTTTTGGAGGAAAAGGGGGAGTTGGAGGGGTGGAAAAAAGAGGGGCAGAGGCAAAAAAAGGCATTTTTGCCCAAAAAAGTACTTTTTTTGCTGCAAAAGGACTTGGTTGGATTTCAGGGGGTTTTGAAGGACTTGCATGGATTTTCAGGGTATTTTTAAGGGATTGGGCAGATTTTGCTGGATTCCGGGCAGTTCTGGGGGATGTTTTGGTGCTTTGCTCACCGCACTCTGGAGATGACGTCACTCTCCTGCTGTTTCCACTCCTTGAGCTCCCTCTGGAGCTGCTCCTGGCACACACAGAGCTCCCTTTGGAGCTGCTCCTGAGGGAGCTCAGAGAGTGCCAGGAGCAGTTCCAGAGGGAGCTCAGAGAGTCCCGGGAGCAGCTCCAGAGGGAGCTCAAGGAGTCCCGGGAGCAGCTCCAGAGGGAGCTCAAGGAGTCCCGGGAGCAGCTCCAGAGGGAGCTCAAGGAGTCCCGGGAGCAGTTCCAGAGGGAGCTCAAGGAGTCCTGGGAGCAGCTCCAGAGGGAGCTCGAGTCCTGGAAGCAGCTCCAGAGGGAGCTCAAGGAGTCCCTGGAGCAGATCCAGAGGGAGCTCAAGGAGTCCCGGGAGCAGCTCCAGAGGGAGCTCAAGGAGTCCCGGGAGCAGTTCCAGAGGGAGCTCAAGGAGTCCTGGGAGCAGCTCCAGAGGGAGCTCAAGGAGTCCTGGAAGCAGCTCCAGAGGGAGCTCAAGGAGTCCCGGGAGCAGCTCCAGAGGGAGCTCAAGGAGTCCCGGGAGCAGCTCCAGAGGGAGCTCAAGGAGTCCTGAGAGCAGCTCAAGGAGTCCTGTGAAAACCTCCAGAGGAAGCTGAAGGGAGCGAGAACAATGGGAGAGCACCCTGAGCTCCAGAGTACGGTGAGCAAAGCACCGAAACATCCCCCAAAACTGCCCCAAATCCAGCAAAATCCACCCAAATCCCGTAAAAAACACCATCAAAATCCATCCAAGTCCTTCCAAATCGCCCTGAAATCCATTCAAAATCCCAGGAAATCCTTCAGAACTGAGCTGAAATCCATTGAAATGGAGCAAAAATCCTTCCAAACCCACTCCAAATCTGGCAAAGATCCACTGAAAATCCCCCTCCAGTCGGAGCTGTGGGGGGGCTTTGGGAAGAGGTTTGATGGGAATTTGGGGGGGATTCAGGGAGAAATTCTGGGACTTTCCCGCAGCTCCCTGGAGTCGGAGCTGGAGCGGCGTCTGCAGGAGGAGGAGCAGCGGCAGAGCCACGCCACAGCTCGGCATGAAGACCTCTCAAACATCTTGGGGAACCCAGAGGTTTGCGGGGCCCTGGAATTCCTCCACTTCCAGAGGAGGCCACCAAGGGGATCAGAGGGCTGCAGCACCTCTCGCATGGAGACAGGCTGAGAGAGTGGGGGCTCTTCAGCCTGCAGAAGAAAAGGCTGTGGGGAGACCTCCTTGGGGCCTTCCAGGACTTCAAGGCAGCTTCTAGAAACATGTGGGCAAAGGGTTCAGTAGGGCCTGTCACAATGGGACAGGGGCTGAGGGGGCTAAACTGGAAAAAACTTCTTTATCTCAGACCGGATGTTTACACCCATGGCATTCAGCACTAAACCAAACCATCCCTGTTCTTTGCTGTTAGTTCTTGAGTTTTGCTCCAGGAGTCCCAGGAGCAGCTCCAGAGGGAGCTCAGAGAGTCCTGGGAGCAGCTCCAGAGGGAGCTCAAGGAGTCCCGGGAGCAGCTCCACAGGGAGCTCAGTGAGCGCCGGATTGAGTCAGACAACGGGACTCATTTCAAGAACAGCCCAGTAGCCACTTGGGCACAGGAGCATGGGATTGAATGGGTCTATCACATTCCATATCAGGCACCTGCTGCAGGAAAAGTAGAAAGGTGTAATGGACTGTTGAAGACAACCCTAAAGGCACTAGGTGAGGGAACTTACAAAAATTGGGATAAGAACTTAGCCAAGGCCACCTGGCTCGTCAACACTAGAGGCTCTGTCAACCGAGCTGGTCCTGCCCAAGCAGAATCCCTCCACACTGGAGATGGAGACAAAGTTCCAGCCATCCATCTCAAAGGTATGTTAGGTAAGGCCCTTTGGATCACTCCTCCCTCAGGCCAAGACAAACCCAGTCGTGGGATTGGTTTTGCTCAAGGGCCCAGAAATACCTGGTGGGTTATGAGGAAGGATGGAGAGATCCAATGTGTCCCTCAAGGAAATCTAGCCCTGGGGAAAAACTAATTCTGTGCCCTAAGTTGTGTTTTACAGGAGACCAGACACCAGACGGAAAAGACCCGAACAAAGCGATACCGGTATCCAAGGATGTCCGATGATGAGACAGCCCTAAACCCCCAAATTTCCCTCAAAATCCTCCCTGAATCCAAAAATTCTCCCCTAAATCCCCAAATTCCTCCCTGAATCCCAAATTTCCCCTCCCCAGGGGGAGAGGGGAAATTGGAGACATGTTAGTAACCATTTTCTCCCTGGAGGAGAATTTTGGGGAATCCATCAATTCCCTGTGCTTCGCCAGCAAGGTGGGAGTGGGATTTGGGGGGATTTGGGGAGACATGAGGGATTTGGGGGGACATGAGGGATTTGGGGGGGGTTTGGGGGAACATGAGGGATTTGGGGGAATTTGGGGGAACATGAGGGATTTGGGGGAACGAGGGATTTGGGGGGAAGTTGGAGGGTATGAGGGATTTGGGGGGGGTTGGGGGTCTCTGCTGGATTTTGGGGGGTCACAGGAGGGTTTGGGGGGTCCTGGGGGAGTTTTCGGGGGGATCTGAGGAGGTTTGGAACATGTCACAGAACAAAGGGAGCTCCAAGGAAACGTCCCGAAAGGCGGGAATGGGACTCGGGGAATTGTTGCAGCTGCTCCTCGACGACTCCAGGAGCAGAGGGCCGCGAGCAGAGCTGGATCCTCCTGTGCTGGGCTGCAGAGAACTTCCCAGGAGAAGCTGTGTGGAGGTGGCACAGCCCAGAGCGGGAGAGCTGCAGGCACGGAGCATTCCCTGGGTTTTTGCTCTGTATTCCAAGGCTGGAGCAGGGATCACTGCAGGGAGCAATCCTGAGGCTCCTCCAAGGCTGTCGCTGCTGACCTGCGAGGGACGTGAGGAGGGACAGCTGTGAGTTGTACCTGTGTTTGGATGATGGCAAACATTTCCAACTGGGGGGACATTGGGGGACACTGGGGACATTGGGGGATATTGGGGGGACATTGGGGGGACATTGGGGGGACATTGGGGACATTGGGGGGACATTGGGGACAAAAATTGGGGGGGACATGGGAACATTAGGGGACATTGGGGGACATTGGGACATGGGAGACATTGGGGGGATTGGGTCATTGGGGGGACATGGGGGACATTGTGGGACTGGGGACATTGGGGGAACATTGGGGACGACATTTGGGGACATTGGGGGCCACATGGGGGGGACATTGGTGGGAAATTTGGGGGGACATTGGGGGACATTGGGGGACATTGGGGGGACATTGGGGGACATTGGGGGACATCGGGGGGACATCGGGGGGACATCGGGGGGACATTGGGGACATTGGGGGGACATTGGGGGACATTGGGGACACATTGGGGACATTGGGGACATTGGAGGGACCTTGGGGGACATTGGGGGACATTGGAGGGACATTGGGGATATTGGGGGACATTGGAGGGACATTGGGGGGACATTGGGGACATTGGGGACACATTGGGGACATTGGGGGACATTGGGGGGGTCAGGGGTCATTTTCAGGGGGTCAAAGGTCACCTGTTGGTAGGTGTTGGTGGCGATGATTGGCTGCAGGATGGGGGGCGGGGCCAGCGGGTCCCCAGGGGCGGGGCCTGGAGCCCCCAAAACCTCCTGCTCGAACCTGGGGGGGGAGGGGCACCGGTGACACCCCCCCAGTGACACCAGTGACCCTCCCAGTGCTCCCAGTAACACCCCAGTGACCCCCCAGCACCCTCCCAGTGCTCCCAGTGACACCCCAGTGACCCCTCAGCACCCTCCCAGTGCTCCCAGTGACACCCCAGTGACCCCTCAGCACCCTCCCAGTGCTCCCAGTAACACCCAGGGCCCTCCCAATAACACCCCCGTCACCAAGCCCCTGGCCCCGCCCACATGGCCACTGGGAAACCAAGCACCGCCCATCCCAACCCCTTAGACCCCACCCCTGTTGCCATAGGAACTCAAACTCCTCCCACTGCCCCAAACCCCACCCCATTGCCATGGACACCCTTAAACCCCGCCCACTGCCCCAAGTCCCACCCACTACCGCCATTAACCTCCAAGCCCCACCCACAATCATTAACACCCCAAAGCTCCTCCTGTCTCTAAGCCCCACCCACCAGAGCGACCCCGCCTCTGTTACCATGGCCACACTCAGGCTCCACCCACTGCCCAAGCTCCGCCCCCGTTGCCATGGCCACCCCAAGCCCCCCCCCGTTCCCATGGCACTCCTCCCCTCCCTGCAGCCCCGGCCCCGCCCCCGTTGCCATGGCCACAAAGCCCCGCCCCTTCCCCCGCTCCTCACAGCGCCATCTCGGCCTCCATCTCCTTCAGCCGCTCCTCGCCGCTCTTCGCCGCCGCTCCGCCTCCCCCCGCGCCAAATCCTCTGCAAAGGGAGGCTCGTCCTCTGGGGAACCGCGGGGCTCAACACCAGGGCAGCAGCAGCAGCAAAGGGACTCTGCCAACTGCTGGCACGGGGGGGAGGGGGGCACTGCAGGCCACAGGGGGAAGAAACCCCACACTTGCTCTAATCTAACACACCTCAAAAGAGACCTGGCAGGAGTTAGGGACTTTCAAACCCAGAAGAGGATTTCGAAGGAGTAGCAGCTTCCCTGGCAGGGCCTGCACAGTACCAGGGCTGTGCCCACCCCTGCCCCTGATGGGGATCAGCCATCTCCAGCATGGCCCAGCAAATAGAACTCACAAAGACCACGAGAGCAAAGAAAAAGGCAATTGAGTTATCTGACGGTTAATAGCCTTCCTTCACTCTGCCTTGTCTTTACCTTTACCTAGTGTTTTAAATTCAGTTAACTACACAGAACTGTCAGACAAAGCCAACTCCTTAACCCAAGGGAAATAAATCACGTGGCACCAGAATATCGAACCCTCCTTGCAAAAAACCCTCAAACCCTCTTTTGCTGAGCCTAAAAGGTGACGGATAATTAGTATGTAAGATCCCAGCTATTCCCACTTGTTATGCAAGCAGCATCCTTTAAGTTGTAGTTTAGAGAGCAAGTCATTCCTGTCTGGGATCAATAAAACAACCCGCTGCAGTTTGTTGCTCAGGACACGGGAGCAGCATCAGCCTGGGGAAGGCGAAAGGAGCTTCAGCTCCAGCCGCGTTAGCCAGCAAAAAGTTGTGCGCGCGTCTGTGCCAGCCTGGCGGGAGCATCCCTGCGCGTGCAGGGAGGGAGGGATGGAGGGAGCGAAGGATGCTCCCGGTCCCGCCGCTCCCGCTCCCCGTGCCCGGGGGCAACGCCCCGACCCCCGCCCGGGCCGACTCTGCGGACCCCGCGCCCAGCCCCGCACAGAGCTCCGCCCGGCCAGGAGCCGCGGGGGCACTGCGGGGAGCCCGGCGGGGCAGGCACCGCGTCCGCCCGGCCCCGCATCCCCGCCGGCTCCCGCAGCGCGGCCGCGCTCTCCTTCCCCCGAACCGCAGCCTTTCCTAATTTCCTTAGTTATTCCTATTTTCTTTCCCCTTTCTAACCCCCCCTGCCTGCTCCCGGTGCCGAGCCGCGCTCACCTGTGCGGGCGGGGGGGACATGCCCTGCCCTGCCCTGCCCTGCCCTGCCCGGGGCGGCTCCCGCAGCCCCGCGGTGCTCCCGGTGTTCCCGCAGCTCCCGCAGCCCCGCGGAGCTCCCTTCGCTGTCCCTTCGCTGCCCCTTCGCTGCCCCTTCTCTGCCCCTTCGCTGTCCCTTCACTGCCCCTTCGCTGCCCCTTCGCTGTCCCTTCGCTGTCCCTTCGCTGCCCCTTCGATGCCCCTTCGCTGTCCCTTCGATGCCCCGCCGGAGCCCCGCCGGGTCCCGGGGCAGCGCTCGGTGCCCGCCCCCTGCCCCGTTCGCGCTCCCGCAGCCCAGGTGCTGCTCCTCCCGCACCTGCGGGATCCTCCGCGGCAGCCCCGAGCCTGTTCCCGTCCCGCTCCCCGCCTTTCCCGCATCCTCGCCCGCTCCCGCTCCCGCTGACGGCAGACCTTGCAGTCCCAAATTACCGCTCGCGGCTTTTTGCCCCTCCGCTTTTAATCCCAAATTTGCCCTAATTGTCTCGCTCTTCCAAAGGAACCTTTCTCCTCACCCGCCTTCTCGCTCAGCCCTTTGCATCCACCTGCTGCTTTCCTTCCCTTCCTCATCCTCCTCGGCCGAGAAATGAGTGTCTCGTGCAGGGAGACGAGGAGCCGGAGAGCGGAGCACCCCTGGGGACCAGCTCTGCCGCTTCCGAGCCCTTTTGGCACCCCTGTGCCCAGAGATGCTCCCAAACCTTCCGCAGGATCCCTCCTCAGTGTCTTTACTTGCTACCACAACCAACTGATGAGCCCCCAACTGCTTTCAGAGTCTGAGTTTAGGCTGAATCAGCAGCACAGTGGAAAGGCACAAAGAAAAGAAAAAGAAACGTATTCAGAAGTGAGGCTGGGACCTACCTGTCGTGGTTGGGACGGATACGAAGCAGCAGCAGCAACCACGAGCTGCAGTTTACAGCCTCTTAAATACAGCTCTTCAGGCACACGTCTACCACACAGATAGGTCCATTTCAACACACAAACTACAATTCTTACAGCCAATAGGTGGATTTTAGTTGCACTTTCTCAGTTCTACTTTCTCACAACATTTCTGTGCACCTGTCCCTGTTTTCCTTTGATGTTTATATTTTTCTCAGTCACTCTGTTCAAAACAAGCCCTCGTTCCCACGAGACAGTATCCTTGTTCTCACAGGAATAGTGGCCTTGTTCTCTGGATGTTTTTCTCCTCTTCTCAGGGTGCCTGCTGTCAGCACTAAGGCCTTTATTCTCAGTCAGTTTTTCGTTCTATACCAGGGGTCCCGGCCCAGCCGGGATTCCCCACACCTACCTGTGCCCCTGTCCCGAAATTCTGTCCTGGGAAAGGCTTTTAAATGCCTGTGCAACAAAAAATGCCTTCCAGTGCAAAGAGGGTATTCAGTCTAAACTGTGCCTCCCCTGCTGCAGCTCTTCCCTGAGGCCCTGAGGTGTCCTGGGCCCAGCGAGCCAGGAATAATTCCCCCTTGGGTTGCCAGTCCAGCTCTACCTGAGACACTTTCACCTGCTCAGTCCCACCCACCTGTCCATTGTTGGATGTCACTCAGGAGCCCAACTCTTGGCTCCCTGTGCATCTCCAGGATGGACTTGCCCAGCCAACCTCTCTAGCTGGGTGGCAGGAGGGCCTGCCCTGATAAGGCCTAAAATGCCATCAGACAATGCCAACAGTGCCAGCTCTCCTGCCAGCTGTCTGTGAGATCTGCCAGTTACTGGTGCCACCATGGGGATGGGTTTGGTGTTGGATGATGCTCAAACCAGCCTGGTTCACCCAACTGCAAACACACAGCCTGCTTTTGGAAGTTGGGTGGGAAGTTTGGAAGAGAAGCTGGGAACTGGCCTGTCCATTTGTGAGGAGCAGTCAGTCACTTTATACTAGAGAAGTCCAGTCCCCTTTCATCCAGGCAGGTTCTTCCAACACAGCCCTTCTTGGGGTAGATGTGTGGAGATTCCTGCCTTGGCTGGGGATGCCCTCCAAGGACACTCCTCAAGGCTGAGCAAAAGAAATCTCCCAGTGACCGTTGGTCTGGGTGAGTTCCATCAGATCTCTACTTAATAATTATTTCTTTTGGCTAGCTTTAATAGAATTGTTTCAATAATTGCTTCAATATAGGGCACTATCCTATCTTATACTGTACTACTAGTAGTTTTAGCCTTTATACTGTCTTGTACATAATTCTGATTAAGATTTTTGTCCGATCTTTTGTAAGAATAAGTGATTCATTTTATATCAGTATTCTCATTTGACCAATCATTAAATCCTGTGGGACAAAAGTGGTTCAATCCCACTTCTGTAATTCCTTAAATTTAATTTGTTGACAAAATCTGAGGCAAAGATTGGATCCCTTATTCCTTGAGGCTCTGCAGTGGGACAATGGCTCCTTGATTCCATGAGGCTGCACTGTTTCCCAGTGTTCTTTGGCTCCAGAAGGCCCTGCAGTGCACTGCAGTGCCCACAATGGCCCACTGATTCCATCATTTTCCCCAGGGTCACAATGGCCCCTTCATTCCATGAGGTTCCACAAAGTCCCATTGGTTCCCTTTGGTTCCCAAAGGTTCTGGGATGTCACACTGGCCCCTTGATTCCCTGACGTTCCACAGAGTCCCGGGGTCCTTTTGATTCCATGAGGTTCCGCAGTGTCCCATGTTCCCTTTGGTTCCAGGAGGCCCCAGTGGATTCCAGTGGCCCCTGGATTCCAGGAGATTCCACAGTGTCCTGGGGTTCCCTTGTCTCCCTGACTTTTGGCAGTGCCCAGGGTCCCTTTGTTCCCAGGAGGTTCCTTCATTTCCATCAGGCCCTGCCACGTCCCAGACTCCCTTTGGTTCCGTGAGGTGCTGCAGGGTCACAATGTCCCCTTTATTCCAGGAGGTTCTGCCATGTCCCAGGGTTCCTTTGGTTGGGGAATTGCTGGGATGTGGCAGTTCCCAGATCCAGCCCACCCCATTTCCCAGCACTGCGGGCCCCAAATGGGTCCAGTCTCCAGCCCTAGAGCAGAGCCCAGGGGGAAGATTCTCTGCCCTGGCCCTCCCTGTTCCTCTGCAGGCCATTTCTCTTTCCCACTCTGCCCTCATGAGTCCCATTCCATGGCTCAGTCCTTTCAGGGGGGCTGTGCCCCCCGAAGATGCTTTTCAAAGCCCAGGGAGGGTTCCACTCCCCATTACACTTTTGCACTGGCCAGATGGGACTGCTAAAGGGCAAGTGAGCCTTCCTGAGCAATCCTTTGCTCTCCAGTCACTGATCAGCTGATGGAAGGGAACCAGGAAGCCCCGGTGGGTGTGATATTGTCCTTGGCCATCTGTCAGAGTGGCAATTGGCACATTGGTTGCCCTTTGATCCCACACAGCCCAGGAACCCTCAGGACCCCTTTCTGAGGCCGGGCTGACCCTGTTCCTGCTCAGGGGATTGATTTCCGGGGTTTGTTACATTTCTTCCCTGCCTTGAGCAGGGTCAAATGTCAGACCAGCCCCTCTCCTCTGCCCAACAGACACTGGAGCAGGAGTTCTCCTGCACAAATGCTTTTGGCCTTTGCTTTTCCTTCCAGTTTCTGGACCTGAGCTTCCAGTCTCCAGGGAGCTTCCCCATCCCACTCCCTCATGGCCAAGCCCCAGTGCCACAGACAGAACCTCAGGGTGACACGTGGGCTGTGCCACCAGAGCCTTTCCCTGGAGCAGGAAAAGGTCAGCTCTCCCTGGCTGAGACAGTGGTCAGCAGGAGAGGGGAAGACATCCTTAAACGCTGGGACATGTGCTGAGACACAGCCCCGAGGGAGGCAGTGGGGTTCCCACTCAGCTCCTGCAGCTGACTGGCCAACCCACCTGCCCTGGGAGCCTCCCAGCCTGCCCAGCTCGTTAACCCCAGGCTGTTGGCACATGTTCAGTTGGTGTCCAGTGCCCTGCCCCTGACTGGCATCTCCAAGGCAGCCTGGGCCTCTCCTCCGTCAATGTTCCTCAGTGATGACCCTGTGGGCAGTTCCTTCATTCCTGTCCAGACGAATTCAGCACACCAATGATGTCACGGCACATGTGCATCTGGGCAATAATCCCCCCCTGGCACACTCTGGTCTCTAAGAAATGGGGCAGAAAGCAGAAACAGTCCAGAGGAAAATCTTCCTGGGCACTGCTGCCTCCTTGGGCAAGTTCCAGAGCAAATAGTCAAGGCAGTTGCCTGGAATGTTTCCCCAGCTGCCCCACAACAGATCTGTTCTGGCCCCACAGTGCCCTGGAAAGAGAGAAACCCAACCCTTAACAAATGCCCTGGAAGGTCACACAACAATCAGCCATTGACAGTTCTCAGGAACCACTTCTCAGGGTATTTTTACTTCTTTGAAGCCGTGACGGGCGACTGTATCATCATGGGAACAAACCCAGGGACACCTGGGATTGCCTGCGGATCAGGCAAACCTTCCTCTGCCTTCAGAACCCAAAACAGGTTTTCATCCTTTGATCCCCAGCTTGGGACTCCTAAAAATACTTCTCTTCACACCCTCATAGGCAGAGCACTAAACCAGAGGGTTATTTTCCTGTCCCACGGGCTGCTGGATGGATTTGGAAGTGGATGGAGATTGGGAAGCACAGCTTGAATGACTGTGGCACATATCAGACAGAGAATGAGTTTCCAGAGGAACCATGGCACCCTGTTTGAAGATCAACAGGGGACTGGGAGACACAAGAAATGGGACACAGGTGTCTGAGCCAACCTGGGAAGGAGGGATTTCAACTAGGAAAGACATGGGAAGGGCAGAGTCCTGGAGAGCAGCCAGGCAGCAAGACAAGGCTCCAGTGGGGAAACTTCCAGGAAGGTCCAGCAGCCCAGGGAGTGGCCCCAAGGCCTGACAAGGGGGTGTCCTCTGGCAGCCCTCCTGGCAAACAGACCCTCTCCAACACCTCAGTGAAGTGCCTGGAGAGCAAAGCCCGAGGTAGGGAAACAAACACAGAGATTTGGAGATCCTGTGCAGTTGGAGACCTGGATCTCCCAGAGAGATGGTGGGATGGCTCCAGGGTTGGAGTGTTGTCATGAATGGCTCCAGGGCTTTTGGCAAAGCAGGCCAGGAAGGAGAGCAGTGGAGTCGCCCCTTCTGGAACAGAAAACCAGCCCTGAGGAGTCTCTGACCCAGGAGAGCAGTGAAAAGAAAGGGTGGAAGAAAGACTTTCCCGTGGTCAAGGGGGATCTGGGTTGAGATCTCCTGGGCAAACTTGGCATCCACAAGTCCGTGGGTCCTGTCAGATGCATTTGGGAGCACTGAGGGAGCTGCTGGACACCACAGGGAGGCCACTGCTGGTGATCTTTGAAAGGCTGTGTCAGTCAGGAGAGGGGCCTGAGGGCTGGATGAGAGCCAGTGTCATCCCACTCTTCCAAGAGGGCAAGAAGGACCCAGGGAGCTGCAGGCCAGTCAGCCCCACCTCCATCCCTGGAATGGGCTGGAATGGCTCATCCCGGAGGCCGTCTGAGCACGTGGATGACAGGAAGGGGATCAGGAGTGGTCAGCATGGATTCACCAAGGGTTGACCCACCTGATTGCCATCTAGGATGGCCCAGCTGGCTGGCAGGAGGAGAGCAGAGCTGTGGGTGTTGTGTGCCTGGAGCTCAGCAAGGCTTTGGGCGCTGCCCCCACCTCTGGGCTCCGGCCTGTCCTGAGGGCAGCAAGGGAGCCCCAGGGCTGTGGGGTGCCCCAGGACCTGCTCCTGCCCGTGCCCCCAGCTCTGCCCTGCTCTGCCAGGCCTGGGGGGAGCCCGGGTGTCCAGGCTGCCTTGCCCTCCCCCATTCCCAGACTGCCCGGATCAGACAGGGCTGGAAAGCCCCGGGATTGCTGAATGGCTTCCTGCTGCCTCAGGCCATGGGCAAACAGGGCTTATCAGAGGTGCTGGCAGGGACAAACACCCCTCCTGCTGGCAGGGGAGCTCTGTTTGCCCAATTAGCTCCAAGTGGCTGCCTGGGGACAAGGGCCCCTTCACCCTGTCCCCCTGCATGGCCACATCCTGCCCAGGGCCAGCGCTGGCGTGGGCCCAGGGCCATGGACAGACACCGTGTGGGGACAAGGGCCTGTGGGGAGCTGGGGACAAGTCCCAGCCAGGGACAGAGCTGGACTTGGAGCCCTGTTGGGGATGGGGTCCCTTGGAACCCCCCGTGTGGGGCAGCTCTGCAGAGCGGGACCCAGGTGATGTGGGTGGCCCCGGGTGTGACAAAGGGAGTGGCAGAGGAATCTTCCCCCCTGGGCTCTGCTCTGGGGCTGGAGACTGGACCCATTTGGGGCCTGCAGTGCTGGGAAATGGGGTGGGCTGGATCTGGGAACTGCCACACCCCAGCAATTCCCCAAGCCTCCCCCTTGTCTCCAGGTGCCCAACATTGCCCAGTGCTCCCCAGTGCCTCCAGTGCCTGGAGATCCCAGTCACGGGGCTGTTCCCACTGCCCAGGTCCCCCATTGTTCTCCCACCCAAGGAGTGGGATTTTCCCAAATCATGTTCAGTGGCAACCCCTTCCTTCCCCACGGGGCTGGAGTGGAACAGGGACAACTGTGGACAGACATGCTGGTCTGGGGCCTGGGTGTGCTCTGGGGTGTCCCAGAGGGAAAGCTGTGGGAAGGGATGGGCAGGAGGACATGAGTGGATCAGGCTTTGGGGGCCGTTGGAGGATGGATTGTGTTGTGTGGGATTGTCCCCACAGGGTATGCAGCTGCTTTCAGCTCCCTGCCCACCCCCCTGGCACCCCCAGGGGCCTGGGCCCTTCCAGGGGCAGCTGCCCCGTGCAGGAAGCTGGAGGGATGCCGGGGAAGGTGGCTGGATGGGTGCCGCAGGCGGGATGGACTCTGTGCCAGGGCTGGGCTTGTGGCCAGGGCTGGGGGCTGTGCCCAGCCGGGCTTTGCCCCGGGGGCTCTCGGGGAGGGTCAGGGAGGAGTCCCGGCAGGGATAAATGTGCTCCTGCCCTTGTGCAGCCTCAGCCAGCGCTGCCCAGGCCCAGAGGAAGATGAAGGTTGCTGTGCTCAGCGTGGCCCTGCTCTTCACCATCCTGCTGAGCCCCCCGGCAGATGCCTGGATGGGTCCCCCTTCCCACCAGGATCACTTCAGGGATGGGTTCAGGGATGGGCTCAGGGTTGGGTCTTGTCGCCCTGGCTTCGGCTCTGGTGCAGGACTGGATCGTGGTGGTGAGCAGGAAAACGCTTGTCTTGGCATCTCCCTTTCACCATCCAGGAGCATCTCCATGGTTCCCGCAGATTTTCCTTCTCATATGAGGGGGTATCCATGGGCGGGGTGGGGTGGGGACACCTGTGTCCCCCCACAGGCCCACAATGGCCAATCCTGATCAACCCTTTGCTCTCCTTCCCCAGACCATCATCAACACAGGTTGGGGTTCCTGCATCCTGGTAAGTCCTGGAGTTGGGGGACATGCAGTGTGGGAACTGGGGGACAGTTTGGTCCCCCCATCCCTTACTGAGACTGGGGACACCCCAGTGACCAGTGACCTCTCACTGTCTCTCCACAGGGAGGCATCATCAGGGGAGAGACGAATGGCCAGGTGGGTGCCAGGAGTTGTTCTGGGCCCAGACCCTCCTCTCTCATGGCCACGACTGTCCAAGGCACCCCAATGCACCCCAGTGTTTCCTGGGGAGGCCTCTTTCTCCGGGCCCCCACTGTAATCCCATCCATCCCAGTGCACCCCAGTACACACTCAAGACATCATTTCCCATCCATTTCCTTCCTGCTTTCCCCCAGTCCTTTCCCTTTCCCATTCCCCAGGACAGTGGTGTCCCCAAATCCCCCTCCTTGACACCCCATCCAATTCCTCGATTTTTGTTCCCTGCCCCTTCTGCCTTCCCCTGCTCCCCGTGTCCCCTCCACTGGAATTCCTTCCTCCTCACCTGCATCCCCCACAGTCCAGTCCCTTTGACACCCCTGTCCCCATCTGTCGGGGTCCCCAATTTCCCCCAGTTTAACGCCTTAGGATCCCCTCCAATCTCTTACTGGAATTAGGGGCACCCCAGTGACACCTCACTGTCTCTCCACAGGGAGAGATCAAAGCCAGTCAAGCAAAGAGGTCTGAGGTGGGTATCCCAAGTTCTGCTGTTCCCAGACCCTCCCCTGTCATGGCCACAGGGTTCTAGGGCATCCCAGTGTGCCCCAGTATGCCCCAGTACACCCCAGCCTATCTCTAACCCTGCCTTTCTTCCCAGCCCCCCGTGGCTGACCAGGTGGAGCTGCCTGTCCAGGTGAGAAATAATGGAGGGTCCTCTTCCCCACAAAGGGTCCTGGAGGGGGTCGTGGGGGATTCCTGAGCCCTGCAGGGTGGGCAGAGCTTGGGGAAAGCAGAGGGACACGAAGTGGGCTGTCCCTGATCCATGTCCAGGTGAACTGGACAGAGCTGCCTCCAAGCAATTCCTTGCACTCAGGGGGCTCTGCAGACCCTCAGGGTCACCGTGAGGGCAGGGAGGGGCTCTGGGAGACTTCAGGGCATCCGGGGGGAGAGGCTCTGGGGGCCCCATGGATTTGGGAGCCAAGTCCTGTCCCAGGTATATCCAGGGTTCCAATTCCCTTCTTCTGCCCCAGGTCCCTGCAGAGAGAGGGTCAGGACAAGGCCCCTCTCATGCCGGTGGACACCAGGGGTCCCATTTTGGGCTCTGTCTTTCAGGACTGGAAGTGGTGGTGACACCCATGTCCTGTCTCCCTCCAGTGGCATGAGGAGATGATCATCTCTGGAGGACCCCCCTGATCCCCTGGGTGCCCTGGGAATTTCCTTGGAATGATCAATAAACCCCTGATGCAAAGCAAATGCTCTCTGTGTCCATTTGTGTCTTCCCATGTCCGTGTGTGTTCCAACGTCCATGTGTGTCCCCACGTCCATGTGTGTCCCCATGTCCATGTGTGTGTTCCCATGTCCATGTGTGTGTTCCCATGTCCATATGTGTGTTCCCACGTCCATGTGTGTCCCCATGTCCATGTGTGTGTTCCCATGTCCATGTGTGTGTTCCCATGTCCATATGTGTGTTCCCACGTCCATGTGTGTCCCCATGTCCATGTGTGTGTCCCCATGTCCATATGTGTCTCCACATCCATGTGTGTCCCCATGACCATGTGTGTCCCCATGACCATGTGTGTCCCCGTGTCCCTCTCCCCTCCCCTCTCCAGCCCCTGCACACCCGGTGCCTCTCTGCCCGCACCCCCACCATGAGCAGAGCGGCTCAGGGGGCTCCTGGGGGTCTCTGCACACCAGATCCCCCTCACACTCTTAAGGGAACTTCCCAGGCTCACCATTCCCAAGACTCCCTGGCAGTCACTCTCCCACCAGCCCAGACTGGCACTGCTGACCCTCAGGCCCCTTCCCAGCAGCAGCAGCTCCAGTGACCCAACGGATCCCCTGTGACTCCCCACACCCCCACTCTCACAGTCAGACCAGGTTTCCTCACTGCTTCCACCCCAGCTTTCCCATGGAAGAGTCTCTGATGTCTTAAAAACAGTAAAACAATTTCTTTCTTGTGAAGAAACACAAAAACAGGCTGAGCTGGTGCCTCGAGGAAGGACCCCCAACAAAAAACTCCTTGGGGTTTTATCTCCTCACAGTCCAAGCACACAAAACGCTCTTCCTGCTGAGTCCTGGGCTCCTGCCCTGTCTCCAAGTGTCCTCTCCCTTGGCTGCTCCAGGGTGGGCAGCTCACGGCCTTTTGTCTGAGGCCCCTCACCCAGAGCTCATCCCACAGCTCCAACTGCAGCTGCTCCCTGAGCCACCTGCACCCACGGGATTCCTCAGCCCTGGGCACCACGAGGCCCCCACAGTGTCCCAGGGTCCCTTTGGTTCCCTGAGCCCCCACAGTGTCCCAGTGTCCCTTTGGTTCCCTGAGCCCCCACAGTGTCCCAGGGTCCCTTTGGTTCCCTGAGCCCCCACAGTGTCACAGGGTCCCTTTGGTTCCCTGAGCCCCCACAGTGTCCCAGGGTCCCTTTGGTTCCATCAGGTTCTGGCACCAAAAACTGGGAAACAAACTCTCCAACCAGCTTTTGGGGTTAGAAAGCCCACATGACTTCATTCAGTGTGCTGGGTGCATGAAGGTAGCTCCATAAAGCATGCACACCCACCAACCTCACAGACCACTTTAGAGTCATGAAATTCATAGCCATGACATTCCTATTACATATTCATTACACTTCCTGAGTACATGCATAGGTACTAATTACCTTCATGGACTTACTTGAATATGGCTCTGGAGCTTCCAAGGAATCTTTTCTCCATGAGAGTATCTCAGACATGTGGTCATGTCATAATGGACTTCTCTTACCATTCTTTGCTCTGACACACAATCCTTGCTCTCAAAACTAAGGCATTTGCAAGTGCATGTTAATCACTGATATAGGGAAATAAGGAAGCAAGAGCTGCCACAAGGCTACTAGTCACAGATGTAGGGATCAAACACTCTTGTACTACAGTTAAAAGAATTTTCCAGCATCTTTCCCCACTGCTGCATAGACTCTGTTTTTTAAAAAATACAACTACTTTGGTCACAGTTTGTGCTGCTTTCAGCTGGGGTAGAGTTGATTTTCTTCCCAGTGGCTGGTACAGGGCCGTGTTTTGGATTTGTGCTGAACACAGGGTTGATAATACAGAGATGTTTTGGTGTTGCTGAGCAGGGCTCACACAGAGCCAAGGCCTTTTCTGCTTTTCGCAGGGCCAGGCTGGCAAGGAAGTTGGGAGGCTGTGAGGAGACACAGCCAGGACAGGGGACCCAAACTGACCCAAGGGATATTCCAGACCACATGACATCATGCTCAGGATAGAAAGGGAGGGGAAGAAGAAGGAAAAGGAAGGTTTGGAGTGATGGCATTTGTCTTCCCCAGGAAGCATTGTGTGGGATGGGACCCTGCTCCCCTGCAGGTGGCTGAACACCTGCTTCCCATAGGAAGTGCTGAATTAATTCTTTGCTTTTCTTTGCTCGTGTGCCCAGTTTTGCTCTCCCTCTAAAGTGTCTTTTACCTCAACCCAGGAGTTTTCCAGCTTTTATCCTTCCAAGTCTGCCCCTGCTCTGGCTGGTGTGGGAGTGAGCGAACGTCTCCACAGTTGCTGACTGGGGTTAAACCCTGACAGAGCTTGTCAGTGGCACAATGGCCCCTCGATTCCACGAGGCTCCGCAATGTCCCAGGGCTCCTTCAGTTCCCTGAGGTTCCGCAGGGTCCCAGGGTTCCTTTGGTTCCATCAGGTTCTGTAGTGTCCCAGAATTCCTTTGGTTCCACGAGGCTCCACAATGTCACAACGTCCCCTTGACTTCATGAGGTTTCTCAGTGTCACAGGGTTCCTTTGGTTCCATCAGGTCCCACAGAGTCACTGGCCCTGTGATTCCATGAGGTTCCACAGTGTCCCAGGGTCCCTTTGGTTCCATGAGGGGAGGGGCTGGGAAGCCAGGGGACCCCCAAGAGCCCCTGTGACTGAAGCCCATACTGGGAACCCTTGGGCCTGTACTGGGAGCGTTTGTGACCCCATACCTGGAGCTCTGGGAGTACTGCTGACCCCATCCTGAAAGTACTGAATGCACTGGGAGCCCTGGTGCCCCCATACTGGGAGAACTGGAGACTCCTATATTGGAAGCCCTGACGCCCATACTGGGGCCATCCTGGGAGCACTGGTGCCCATTCTGCTGCCATACTGGTGTCACTGGTGCCTGTCCTGGTCCACCCTGGTGCTGTACTGGTGCCCCTATGGGTCCATATTGGCCCATACTGGTACCATGGTTATGCATACTGGTCCCAGACTGGTCCATACAGGTCCCTACTGGTCTGTACTGGTCTCATACTGGCCCGTACTGGTGCCATAGTGGTGTGAAGGGAGGTATTTGTTTTTGTGTTGGTGGTGGGGAGTGGCTGTAGTTACTTATTTATGTATTTTTTTTTATTTTGGGGCGTGGGAGGCAGAGGGGGCCGGGGAAGGGATGTTGGGAGGGGGGTGGGGAGGTGTTTGTTTCCCTTTTCCAGCACTGCATTTTGGTTTGGTTTGGTTTTTACTTGTCAGTTTTTCAATGAAATAAATCTCTGCAGACATGGAGCTGCCATCCTGCAAAGGCCGGGCCCCCCCACTGCTGCAACGCACAGACACAGACAAAGAGATACAGACACACAGAGACTCCCAGACAGACACACAGACACACAGAGACTCCCAGACAGACACACAGACACACACACAGAGTGTAGGGTAGAAAACCTTCCAAGAAACACCGAGGATGGAAAACCTTAATGCCCACTCAAGGAAACTCTCGCTGCCAGGGAAAAGCTTTAACGTGGGAAGAAACAACTTTCTCCTGCAGGGTGCTGCGATGTTCTCTTTATCTGCTGCCCGGAGGTAACTCCCTTGCTCCAAGCGCTAAAATCCTCACAGAGGTGCCTGGGCCCCCCAGGGGGGTCAGGCGGGTCCCAAACCCAGGGGAGCACACAGCCTTTCGGGGTCTGTCGCTCCCGCGAAAGGGGTTGTTCCAAAAGCCCCCAAACAGGTTCCTGCTCCGGCTTTCTTGGGCAGCTTTCCCGCAGCGCTCTCGGCCGTCCCAAACAAACAGTGTTCAAGCTCCGGGCCCGGCCCGGTGCAGACACAGCCCCCGCCGCGCTCTCCCTCTCCTCCCCCGCCGCCTTTCAGGCCCCGCGCACGGGTCGGGGCCGCCCCGCGCTCCCCCCTCCCAGCGGCGGTGCCGGAGCGGGGCGGCCAAGGCGGTCCCCGCGCCCCGGGGCGGCGGCAGCGGCAGCGCCGGGGCGAGGAGGAGGCGGCGCGGGGGGAGGCGAAGGCGTTCGGCGCCGGGCGCGGAGCCCGGAGCAGAGGGGAGGCTGGGCACGGGCCGGGGGCGCTGCCGGCGGGGCCGGGCGGGGTCTCTGTGCGAAGCACAGCTGGGGTTGCGTCGCTGGGAGTGTTTTTGGTGTCGTGGGGTCGCCCCGCCGAGGGAAAATGTTAAGTTGCTGTGGAGAAGATGTTCCGCTGCTGCTGCTGCGGGACAATTGAAGCTGCAGAGCTGAATCAGTGCAGCTCTCAGGGTCCGGGGCGGTCGCTCAGAGAGCAGCCGTGTGGGCGGGGAGCAGCCAATGGGGAGGCGCCCAGGGACAGCCAATGGGAAAGCTGCGGGATGGCGGGAAGGGGCAGCCAATGGGAGAGCGCGCGGTGCAGCCAAGCGTAACCAATAGACAACCAATGGGACACCGAGCAGCCGGGCAGCCAATGAGGAGCTGCCACCAGGGGCCGGTGCTGAGAGACT